CAAACGATTAGGTTAAAGTTCAAAAAGGGTCAAAGATCATCGCATGCCACACTAGACGAATTTCATATTGTGAAGTTATCTGCCATTGTCGATGTGACATTCAGTTACTGCCAATACTGGTGCGGATCCAGAATTTTTTTTTCGGGAGTAGGGAGAGGGGTTCACATCTCAGTCAAAAAATTTCCAGCCCAGAATTTCCTGACAAGCAGGAGAAAAAAAAATGAAAACAAATAAACAAAATAAAAACAATGATAGTGTGGTCAATGTTTTCTCAGTTAGGGGGAGGATGTCCAAAGTCATTTTTTATTTGCTTCAGTATATAGTCTTGTTTAAATAACAAAGCAAATTCCAGGGGGGGGGGGGGGGATGGGGGGGGATTCCAATCTCCCTACCCACTCCCTGTCCCTGAAATAACAATCTATTTTGTGATTCCAATTAAATAGTATATTTTTTTCCATTTGACTAATTATACATATTTTGTTTCTTGTGTTTATATTATGTCTGTCTATTTGTCTGCAGAAATTATAACCTTGCCCATAAGTTTTAAGTGGGATGGGCTATACAAATGGCTTCTACATTTTATAGGTTTACTTCTTGTGACAATTAAGACCTTTTATTTGGGTACCATTAATTTTTACCTGAAATCGCTTGACCTAGGATACACATTTTTACAAGAAAAATACCAAACTTTAAACTTGGCCTAAATTTTGATCAACAGGTGCTAGGGCTTTCATGCTTAACATGTGTATTCATTGTGAACTGTCAACAGGTATAAATATGTTTGACCTTGACCCTAGAGTTTGAACCACTTAAGAAAAAATTAACCTTGGCAATTAACTTTTGAACAGGAATTACTAGGGATTTCTTTATTTCACATGTGCATTCCTTGTGACAAGACTTTCTTCTGATACTAACAATTTGAACCCTTTGACCTTGAACTTTGAGTTTGACATATATTTGAGAAACTTCAACCTTCGCCATAGGCTTCCATACAGGGACATCAGTGTTTCACAAACACATCTTGTCTTCATTATTATTTGGTGGTGTCTCCATATGAGGGAAAAATTCCCAAGAGAGATGTATTCACAACAAACAAACAAATTACTAAAGAAAATATAAAACATGAATATGTTGGTCATGCATATCTCTGCATGAAAAAAACAGCTTTTCAAATACTGCAACCATATTCTAACCCTTTCAAAACACTCATTTGAGCTTTTCTGGTTTCCTTAACATGTAACGTCTGTCGTGACGTGTCGTCCATCTGTTTGTCTGAAAACTTTTTACATTTTTAACTTCTCTAGAACCACTGGGCCAATTTTACCCAATTCATATAGAAATATGTATATTTGTAAATGTCAGACTGTCCATCTGTCTCAATAAATTTAACCTTGGTCATCACGGTCATATCTACTGAATATTAAACTTATGTATTAGTATTTACCTGTGAGAATGGCATGGTTTTTTATGCGCCCGGATCGATAGATCCCGGGCGTATATTGTTTTTGTCCTGTCTGTTTGTCTTTTTGTCTGTTTGTCTGTTTATCTGTTTGTCTGTCTGTCTGTTGTCAACTTTAACCTTGGCCATAACTTTTGAACAATAAGAGATAGAGACTTCATATTTGGTATGCATACTCCAGTAATAAAGTCCTTTCAAATGACATCAAGGTCAATGACCTTGTGACCTTGACTGTGACCTATATGCTAAAAATAGCTTTTTCCACTGTTTGTCATAACTTTTTAACCATAGGAGATAAGGACTTCATATTTGGTATGCATACTCCACAAATAGAATCCTTTCAAACAACATCAAGGTCAATGATCTTGCGACCTTGACTGTGACCTATATGCTAAAAATAGCTTTTTACACTTTTTGCCATAACTTTTTAACCATAGGAGATAGGAACTTCATATTTGGTATGCCTACGATATCGATAAAGTCCTTTCAAATGACGGCAAGGTCAATGATCTTGTGATCTTGACTGTGACCTATATGCTAAAAATAGCTCTTTACACTTTTTGCCATAACTTTTGAACCATAGGAGATAGGGACTTCATATTTAGTATGCATACTCCACTGATTAAGTTCTTTCGAATGACACCATGGTCAATGACCTTGTGACCTTGACTGTGATCAATATGCTAAAAATAGATTTTTTGAACTTTGTTGCTGCCGGGCGCATAGTGTTTCACAAACAAATCTTGTTTTTTTTACCTGTGACCTAGAAGTTTGACCTACTTGCAAAAAAATTAAATTGTTATAAATTCATCATTTTGAAAGAGAAAAGTTAGGGCATTCATATCATAATGCAAGTATATTATTACCTGTGATAAGACCTTTCCAAATAAATCATGACTTTTACTCTGTGACCTTGACCTTGAAGAGGTCAAGCCTCTACTTTTCAAAAATGTTGCATTTGCTTATAACTTTTGATTGAGATGAGATATGACTCTCACATTTGACATATACATTAATTACTCATAAGAATTCAAGGTGTTTCCCAGCATGTGATGCTTTTTTTACCCCTTGACGTTCATGTTTTACTTAATTTTCAAAATATTTAACTCTCCTAAAAGATGATTAGGCTTCTGAGTAACATTAAGGAAGACTTCAGGGAAGACAGGGCTTTTTGCACAAAAAACGTCATTTTTTGACCCATATTTGACCCCCCAGGGCAAAATCTTAATTCCAAAACCTTACTGCACATCTACCTGACACCACCAACCATCTCCCAACAGATGATTAGGCTACTGTGTAAAATGTAGGGGAAGTTCAGGGAAGACGGGGCTTTTTGCATAAAAAATGTCATTTTTTTACCCCCATTTGACCCCCCAGGGCAAAATCAAAATTCCGAAACCTTACTGCATATCTACATGACCCCACCAACCATCTCTCAAAAGATGAATAGGCTGCTTAGTAAAATGTAAGAGGAGTTCAGGGAAAACAGGGCTTTTTGTATAAAAAACGTTATTTTTCCACCCCAATTTGACCCCCCGGGGCAAAATCTAAATTCAGAAACCTTACTGCACATCTACAAGACACCACCAACCATCTCCCAAAAGATGATTAGGCTACTGTGTAAAATGTAGAAGGAGTTCAGGGAAGACGGGGCTTTTTGCATAAAAAACATCATTTTTCGACCCCCATTTGACCCCCCGGGGCAAAATCAAAATTCCGAATCCTTACTGCACATCTACGTGACAACACCAATCATCCCCCAAAAGATGATAAGGCTGCTGAGTAAAATGTAAGAGGAGTTCAGGGAAGATGGGGCTTTTTGCATAAAAAACGTCATTTTTCGACCCCCATTTCACCCCCTGGGGCAAAATCAAAATTCCAAAACCTTGCACATCTACATGACACCACCAATCATCCCCCAAAAGGTGATTAGGCTGCTGAGTAAAATGTAGAAGGAGTTCAGGGAAGACGGGACTTTTTGCACAAAAAACGTCATTTTTCGACCCCCATTTGACCCCCGGGGCAAAATCTAAATTCCGAAACCTTACTGCACTTCTACGTGACAACACCAATCATCCCCCAAAAAATGATAAGGCTGCTGAGTAAAATGTAAGAGAAGTTCAGAGAAGACGGGGCTTTTAGCATAAAAAACGTCATTTTTCGACCCCCATTTGACCCCCCAGGGCAAAATCAAAATTCCAAAACCTTACTGCACATCTACATGACCCAACCAACCATCTCCCAAAAGATGATTAGGCTACTGTGTAAAATGTAGAAGGAGTTCAGGGAAGACGGGGCTTTTTGCATAAAAAACATCATTTTTCGACCCCCATTTGACCCCCCGGGGCAAAATCAAAATTCCGAAACCTTACTGCACTTCTACGTGACACCACCAATCATCCCCCAAAAGATGATAAGGCTGCTGAGTAAAATGTAAGAGAAGTTCAGGGAAGATGGGGCTTTTTGCATAAAAAACGTCATTTTTCGACCCCTATTTGACCCCCCGGGGCAAAATCAAAATTCCGAAACCTTATTGCACATCTACATGACACCACCAATCATCCCCCAAAAGGTGATTAGGCTGCTGAGTAAAATGTAGAAGGAGTTCAGGGAAGACGGGACTTTTTGCACAAAAAACGTCATTTTTCGACCCCCATTTGACCCCCCGGGGCAAAATCAAAATTCCGAAACCTTACTGCACATCTACATGACACCACCAACCATCTCCCAAAAGATGATTAAGCTACTGTTTAAAATGTAGGAGGAGTTCAGGGAAGAAAAGTGTGACAGACGGACGGACGGACGGACGGACGGACGGACATGAGTAACAACAATATACCCGAACTTTCTTTAGAAAGTGCGGGTATAACTATCAGTATTCAGAGAAAAGTTTTATTGCATCAGCAACTTTTGAAATAATTATTTCGATATATTTATTGGATTCATTTTTCAAAGCACTATTTAAATCAATGATTTTATCCATTAATAAATCTTTATTTCAAAAGTGAACACTATTTCTATAGTGGTTGCAACCTATGTTTGTTATTGAAATGAATGTCATCAACTATTGAAATAATTATTTCAATAGTGGTCGTATTTTAATAGTGGTTATTACCTATGTTTGTTATTGAAATGCACTCTCAACCACCATTGATATAATTACTGCAATAGTGGTTGTATTTCAATAGTTGTTACTAACTATGTTTGTTATTGAAATGCACTCTCAACCACTATTGATATAATTATTTTAATAGTGGTCGTTATTTCAAAAGTGGTTGCAACACTGCTGTGTCTGGGTTAAGAAATCACATATTTCACTTTCAAAACTCTGATAAATAATAGTTGAATTCTCCTTTCAACATAAAGTATATATCCAACTTTTTAAAACTAATACTAGCGTTTCTCATTAAATTTTTAATCAGAATTGTGACGCCGGAACGGAAAAATTGATTATGATCGAGCAAATTGTTTGTATTTTTAGCAAACACATATTAGTTTACATTTATGAATCATCTTCAATATATAATTTAATTGTTTAAAAAGTTTTATTATAAAAAGGAAAATTTTACAATAGTTGATAAAGAAATATGAAGAATATTATTAGAAACCTTTTTTCCCGCAAGCAAAAAAGACTATTCCCTCATAACTTATATACATTTATACATGTATGGGTACACAAATCAACTATTATAAGAAAAATGTACAATGTATAAAAATTATTTAAAGACAATTACAAAAGAACACCAGAGAAAGTAGTGATTGGTGTATTGTCCGAATAGTATCCAGTGCCAGTGTATCGTTTAATCCACACTGTATCGCCTTGATTGAGATTTACCAGTAACATATTGGTCCCTGTTTGATAAGTCGAGGAACTTTTGGCTTCAGCAGCCGCTGTCACCTTGGTGTTTCCATTTACTGCGATATACAGGTATATATCTTGAGAACCATAACTAATTACGGTTACAAAAAATTGGTACATCCCCGCGACAGGAGCCGTGAAGATCCCGGTGTTCGCATTATAACCTCCTCCACTGTTGGTGATCACTTTTGAGAAGACCAGTACATCACTGGACCAGGAAGAGGATGACGAAGGCATTCCAACAGTAAATCCTACTTTTTTCTTCAAATCTAATCGCATATTAACATATTTTATAGTTCGTTAATAGTATGAAACTTTGGAAGTCTCGTTACATCAAGATTAATGAAGCAAGATTTGGTTAAATAAAATACATATATTATTTATTGGCAGTATAGGTGCAAAATATAGGAATCATCTAAACACAAGAAGTCCTTTTATTTTATTCATTTATCATAAATATACTGATAACTTTGTTAATGATAACTAACTCTGTATTTAACTCACATGAATTCTAATTTAGCGCTGTGTTCTTTCTTTTTCTTTCGATTGTTTTGATTTTTAATGTGATATTAATCCGCATGATGTTAGTGATATAAATTTCCATCTACTTTTTTTGTTTGTAAATATGTCGCCTGCGTTGCGCAGTGGGTAGAGCGCCGCTCTAGAGTCGTGAAGTAAGGAGTCAATCTTGAATAATTACGTCGCGGGTTCGAATCCACTGTGGGGCGTGGAGACCGGTCCTTCGGATGATGCCGTATATAAACCAAGGTCCCGTGTCGCAGTAGGTGCTGACAAGAAAAAGATCCCCCACTGCTCAATGGCCCTAGGTGCCGATAATAGGACAAAATTTGCTGCTCTCCACGGGGAAGTGGTTGTGTCTCCATATGAGTGAAAAATTCTCGAGAGGGACGTTAAACAACACACAAACAAACAAACTAATATTATGTTTTTCTTGAGATTAGTTTACATATTTTTAGAAATATAACTTTTTGGCTATTGTTCATTATCAAATACCGAAACGTCTCCAAAAACTAAATTAAGGATTTCTAGCAAACACGAGGTGATGGTCAAGGACGAAGTGACATCAAATTGTAGGGAAGGCAAATTGGGATTGAAAAATTTGATGAGCAATTCATACAACGCCGAGGTATTGCTCTCAATATAGTCTACCATTGTAATAATGGTCTATTGTAGACAAAAAAGTAAGCTTGACTGAATTTTGTTTTATTTTCCTTACGTAAATTATTTAAGAATTCCGTGACATAATTTTTGGATCATCTTATAATTTTGTATGTTCTCAATGACATCAGTGAAGAAAAACTAAATCTTTTGCAATAAATTTGTTGTTTACTTTTATTTTGATACTCACCACAATGATTGTTTGTCATATTCATTCGGAATACCTCAAGAGAAGACACAGCAGAAGAAAGCTTAAGATTCTCCATCTTTGACTGCATGACATCAGTTCTTAAGGCATTTATTGTTCTGTTTATGTCATCTACAGAAACAAAAACGTAGGATATATAGCATGTATAATGCAATGAAATATAATTTATACTGTTTCCTAATTAAACCGTTATAAATTAGCCAAAATTAATGTTTTAGAGATTGGTTTTCAGTTTGCAAGCAAGTAAGAGGAAGCTTTTCATCATATTATATAGTGAATGAGTACAGACAATAAACAGAGGAAGTGATATTGCTTTGAAATTACTTCAGATTTTTACCTGTCGCCATGATTCTTCCATTTGTAGTCATCAAATCTGCATTCAGATTGGTGATAGATTCATTCAATTTCTCATAATCTTTAGCAGTTTTCTCCTCTATGGCTTTGGTCAAGGTTTTGTCCATTTCAAGTGTGTGTTTGTTCAAATCCAACAAAGTGACAGATAGATAACGAACCTCAGTTTTCATATCTCCTAAAACAGTGGTAATATTTGATTCAAATGTCTGTCTTTTCACCTCCATATTTCTGTCTACAGTTCGCTGAATCTCGAATAATTCTGTCAAATTTTCTTGGACAATTCCGGCGTTTTCTTTTAAGCTGATAATGTCATTGTTTAATTTCTTGTTTTGTTCTTTTAGCGAAGCAACTTCTGTTCTTAGATCCGATATCAAAGATGAGCTTTCTTTTTGAGACTCCTGCAAGGAGATTATAACTTGCTTCATGTCCACCATATCCTTCATCAATGCATGGACGTTTTTCACCAAAGAAATTCGAATAAGAGTTTCTTGGTTAAGCAGTTGTCGGAACACGTCTGTATTTTTGGCATCGACTCTTAATTCTTCCATACTGGTCAAGGTTTGGTTATCGTTGCCCGTGACCACAGATAGACCCTTTACATATACTAATGACATAAAAAGCACAAACGCTGACAAAGTCCTGCAGTCCATGTCGATGTTCAATTGCAAACTAATGTTTGTTGCGTGATGAGAAAACTTTATATTTTGGAGAAGTATGCTCGGATTTTCGTCTTAAAGTGTATGTAATTCAAACTAATCGTGAACCCATTACTCTAAGGTGTACCACAAGAATTTGAAAAACTGTTGGCAAACACTATGTTTTAGAGCAGTTATAGCATCCACTTGCGGTTTATACACTTTTGTTGAAATCTTATCTGTTAAGAAAACATTTTATAAGATCCTTTTTGACAACCTTGTCAATTTTCAAATATTTTACAAGCTTTTTGAAAAACATGGACCGTAAGTAGAATACTCGATTTTTTTTTCTTTATAACATTCCTTTTCAATAATTGAGACCAACATGAAAAACTTTACATTTATCCTGTAGCATTAAGTAGAAATTTTCTATTTTCTACATGTATTAAAAATCCTATTAGTTGCAATACATTTACTTACCAACGATTGGTTGCATTTGATCTCTATAAGATATAATTATAGATTATAATATGTTCTTATCTTGTGCCAAAGGAGCATATGTTCTTAAATAGCTTCTGCTTATAATTAGTATAATCATGAATCTACGAACATGAGAAAGTTTGTAAATGTAAAGTAAAGGAAGAAACCATCTATTAGGAAAAGGTTTCACAATTACCCCCTCTTACCCATGGCAAAGGTTTTTGTCATTGTTGAATTTGCAATACAGGAGCATTGCATTCTAAAAATTGCAAACAATTGTTCATGCTTATTTTATCGATGAAAACATAATTACGTTTAATTTGGGATTGAGAAACGACAAAAGAACCAGCATATATTTAAACTCTCAGATAAGATGAAGCCATTCTGAAATCTAGAGTAAAATTTGAGCAGATGATTTAGGCCCGTGTTGCATTTTCTACAATGCTACTTGGAGGTAACTTTGTAAATATGGTATATTACCAATTCCTAAGGAAAATCTTTATGAATGCACAGATAAACTCTTTGTTACCCATTGCTAGGGAAAATCTTTATAAAGGCACACATAATCTCTTATAGTGTGAGTACACAAATTTTATTGAAACATTTTTCGATGTATCAAGTGAGATACAGGTAAAGATAATAATAGTGTCCATATTTATTTCATAAAAAAACTTAAAAGTGCATAGGAGCGCGTGATAAAACACATATTATGCGAAGCCATTTGCGAAAAAACATCATTTAGTGCAACAATCTGTCATTATCTTCATACGCATCAAAATGAATAATAGATACATTACTTATTATCTTATATTCTTACTTCATTATTACGATTTTTTGATATCTGGATCAAATTTGACACACATATTTTGATATGCATATTTCATATAAAGTATACTGGAATGAATCATTCTCTTATTTCGGGTTCCTTCTGCTGGCCTCTACTCATTGTTATACTCTACATATAAACCATATCTTCTGACATAAAATTACCATGAACATATGAAAAGTAAAAATAGTTAAGAGGTCAAAAGAATTGACTTTATCGTAATCGTTTACATAAAAAGTCAACATGTTAACATAAAAATGTAGTGAATGTATAACCTCGAAGTTAACTGGTGTGGTTATTAATGAGAAATCGTTTCGTCAAAAACAGTGCTATCCATTATAGCTAGACAAAAGATATGATGCTTACATTGTACTTTGAAAGTCGACAGATTGTTAATAAAAAAACTTATGAAACAGATCAACGATAATCTTTTTGAGTTCTAAATAGGTCCTATATAAGGCAAAAGCTGTCCATAGTTATATGTAATTGAAAATATCTTTTATCGCATGCGTGCATAAATTGCTTTTTTAAAAAAAAGTTACAAAAACGATTTTTTTTCAATTAAGGACGAATATTACAACGTCATAATGGCTGCTTTTCCGGTGAAAATTTTATTTGGGCCCTACCATATTAAGAAAGATAACTCTTCAAACCAGATCTTCTGAACCAACATTTTTGAGAATATTTTTTGTAGATTTCTTAATCAAATTTCATTTCAATTTTTCATTTGCATATCATTGATAATCATGTGCATTTTATATCTATAGATTTTGGTACAGTTTTATCTACCAGTTTTCAGGAAATTGAACATGAATGTTAAAAAACACTTTTTTTCAGAAATAATAAAAAATGTATGATGATAAATTTATTTTGTTGTATTTTAATTCTTACATAGTCAACAGGATTGTTTCAAATGAATTGAAAAAGAAATTAAAGATAATAAATTAAAAATAAATTCAAATTAATTTTTAAAAAATTTAAGAATTCGTACATTCTTTACATGAAAGAGGCATTTATATTACAAATATCACTAGATGTGTTATTCTACCTTAAATTTAAGAAAATAGCACATTATTTTGTACCGTGCATGCTCTATCTTTTTTTTTAATAATTTCACCGCATTATGTAGCTCTGGTATTGAATTGTTGATTCTCATCAACTGTATTCAATTATTCTTCAAATGGCGATTTCAATTAGTTAATTAATGATGCCTTGGTCTATTTGAGTTCTCTCCCTTTATGATTTTTTTCACAAAATCATAAATGGAGGTCCATATAATTACATGATCCGATCCTCAGATACTATCACAAATATTTGTCTTCTTTCTAATCCTTTGGAATAATACTTAAGGTTCCAGAAAGTGACATATCAAATTCTGTTGGTCCTTGTGTCTCTCTGATTCCTTTTTCAAAACAGTCCATGGCCGCTATCAAAGGATAAAGCTTAACACATGTAGCATTATCAAAAAGGCGAATTATCTCCTTCTGCAGTAAATTAAACATGTTAAAGGAATTGAATAATGAATTGAATAATAATAAAAAACTGATGATAAAGATAAGTGGTGCAAAGGTTATCTAATCTTAAATTATGGGAATACTATTTTTCTGTGCTCATATGATTGTTGGCAAAAATTTTGATGCAACTCTAAATAGATTGAAAATTTTATAAATGTGGCCTTTTCTCTTCACTTTCAAAAGAAATCAACTAGAAGGACTTAAATGAAAAATCAAGTAGAAAAATAAATAAAGGCTTTCATTTAAAATATAAATGTAGAATCAATAGACTGTTGAATAAAATATTAACAGCACCTGAATATCTTTCTTCTCCGTGCCTTTTCTTTGCATTTTCTTTATTTTTACAAGAATTTCGGGAGCTTGATAGTGGTCAAGATTTTTAATCAGTGTTCTGAAAGATTAAATAATTTCGATGTAAAAGGATTCGAAAAAGGAAATTAAAAAAGTTCATATTTGTGAAATATTTCAGTATGAAATTCCCAAATTCCTTACTTCTGTAGTTTTTCTGACTCCTTTTCCCAAAATTTTCTGTTTTTCTTCTTCATTTTTTCCTCCATTCCTGCAATGAAACAAGATGTGTTTGTGAAACATTGATACCCTCGTTTGAGAGCATACATCGAGAGGTGAACTCTAGAGTCAATGTCAAAATTGTTGGTATAAAAGGGTCTTAATTGTCGCAAGGAATACACCTGTGAAATATAAAAGCCCTAGTACTAACTGTTTTGGCCCAAATTAATCGTTTTAAAACGTGCGTCAAACTCCAAGGTCAAGATTTCAATTTGGTGGTACCTGAAAAAAGGTCTTGTCACAGGAAATACACATGTGAAATATGAAAGCCTTAGCAAAACCAAAGGGTTAATTTTGTATTTTAAAAAAATAAAGTGGTCCTTCGAAACTTAAATAAGTGGTAAATCACAATGTCAGTTTATTTCTTCAATCACAAAATTAAATTTATATGAACACCTGGATTATCCCTCAAATCATGCAATTTTGAGGCCACACAAATACGTAGTTTTACAGTGTTTGCTCGCAGCATTTATGAGCCTTTGTAAATCAGAAGTACACTACTTAATCATATCTTAACAATATTGACTGCTTTTATAATCATTTTTTAAATGAATAAAATTAAAAAAAGACATATACGCTTTTTATACTTTTATAACATAAGATTAAATCAAACAAATATTTTAAAACGAATCTTAATTAGGTACCTTTATAACAGTAAACATTTGAATCCGGAGAAACATTTCCTGTAACCTTCAGAGAAGATGGCTCATTTCCTATAAAAATCATGAAAATTTTATTTAACATAAAAAACAACATTTCATAAGATTCCTAGCTATGAAATATATGCTATTAAGTCTTATTTTAGATAGTACAAATAACTTGTTTTGAAAATTGCTTAGCTTAGTTTATGATTCTTGGCTTACAACTACATTTGTATCAGTTTTCGATACTTATGTTAAACGGTTGTGGAAATAAATTAAGTAATGAACAATTAAATAAGCTGCATTGTCGAAAAAAAATCTTTAATATGCTGCTTAGTTTTGGATATGTACATGTAACTAAGCTACGTTCATTAAGTATATAAGACTGTGGATCAGCAAGAGTATGTTTGTGGCATTGTAAGTTATATTTTTAATAACTTAAGACAGTTCAATTTAGACAATTAGGTAATCTTTAATATGTTTAATTTTTATTTATTACAAATCACAAATACATATTGTAATCCTCCGGTTTATACGCCTGATAGTTACAGTTCTTTTCGTTTTGCATGTCTGTTTATATTGTGTGACGAATATTTTTTTTGTAAGATGTATACTTTTGTAGCGTATGTATGACTATGGGACATAAGGGGTATAGAGCTTATTACGTTTTGATTTGTGTGTATGACTTACGTAGCTAGATTTTTTTGTTTCTATGTGCGCAACTTCATATAAAACATTGTTTTTTTTTTTTAATAATAACGAAAACATATTTAATTTGTCCTCTGTCGTTGTCGTTGTTGGCGTCGTTGTCGTTGTCGTTGTTGTAAACGTGTCACATTTTTATCTTCTTCTCAAGAACCACTGTTCTTTGCTACAAAGTTTTGCATGTCTTATGAATTGGAAAACAATTAATGGCAATATAAAAAAATCTTCTTCTCAAGAACCACTGGGCCAGGAGAGATGAAATTCATGTGGAATCATCCTCATGTAGTGTAGATATTTTTTATGACCCCTGGGGGTGGTGCATTTTACATAGGAATATATAGGAAAAATCTTTAAAAATCTTCTTCTCAAGAACCACTGGGCCAGGAGAGATGATGTGGAATCATCCTTAGGTAGTGTAGATTCAAGTTTGTTCAAATCATGACCCCTGTAGGGTGGGGCCAAAATGGCAGATCAAAGTTTTACATAGGAATATATAGGAAAAATCTTTACAAATCTTCTTCTCAAGAACCACTGGAGACTGGATCAGGAAAGATGAAACTCATATGGAATCATCAACAAGATGTGTAGATTCAATTTTGTTCAAATCATGACCCCCGGGGACAGGGCGGGGCAATAAAGGGCCGATCAAATTTTTACATAGGAATATATAGGAAAAATCTTCTTCCTTGAGACACAATATTTCTTTTAAGTTTGTTCATGTATTTTTTTTTACATAGGAATATCTACTTATAGAATCTTCTTATCAAGTACTTTAATGTCATGCTTAGTGATATTTATAGGGAATCATCCTCAGGTATATATTTTTGTTTAAATTAATTTTTTTTTCTGATCTGATGTGTGCTTTTTCCTAGCCAATTGCTCAGGTGAGTGATGTGGCCCCTGGGCCTCATGTTTTGTCTACATCTGTTGACGGTTTTTTTTTGGTATATACTTTGCCTAAATTAATTACATTTTTGGTAATTAGGTCTGTAACCTATACATTTTTTTTGGATTGTATGTCTTTGATCCAAATTACATTTGATTTGTATGAGTGTGAGTATAAGTAAATTAAATTATCGGTCTGTAAAGTGCATTGCCTCTTACAATGTCCTCGTTTGTTTGTGATGAATATTACATGTAGTTATATTACCTTTTGAATTGTATGTTTGAGACCTATGTTAGTTTTGGGTTTGCATGTCTGTCTGTGTCCTACTTAATTTAATTTTGGCTTGTGTGTTTTTGATATAGATTTTTTCTGGTTTGCATGTTTGTCTACATGTAACTTATACAATTATTACTTTTTGGTTTGTGCGTTTTTTGATATAAATTACCTTTTGGTATGTCTGTCTGTAATCTCCTATTACATTTTATTCATTATGCCTGTGACCTATATTTCTATTACATTTTGTTTTTTATATTTGTGACCTTATAATATTACTTTTTGGTCTATATGTCTGTGGCTCCTGGAGAAACTTGAGGATTTGTTTTATAGTTGGTCGATCTGCGCTCACTTTAGACAGCATCTGCTTGATCAGATTTTCGATGTCTTCATTGTATGAAATAGGCGGACTCTCCGGGAGCTATTCCAATAAATCAAGCATCTGTACAGCAATTTACATCATACCAGTATTTCTAATTTATGGTTTATTGCAATACTTGTCATTAACTCTTCAAGATCTTTTAATTGACTCTCCTCCCTAACTTCTCGTGAAAAACACTCTCATTTTTTGACATGATAAACAGTGAACAATTTATAGAATGCGACCTTACGCTTTTAAAGTATCACACCAGAATAAATAAATAACTGTCAAAGAATGTTAAGGTTTTGACGGTGAGAACTTTCTTTTTACCTTCCCGTTGCATACAGCCTCTTTTAAGGCTTCCATTGTATCGAGATGAAATGCATAATTCCCTGTCGCCATTTCGTAACAGGAGCACCCAAGACTCCAAATGTCTGTCTGTTTAATTTAAATTAATCCATGCTAATTTTTTTTTCTCAAAAACTTATTATACGTTTTCATTTCAAATATTTTTCTTTAAATTACGATATACATGTATTTAAAAACAATGCCACACCTTTTCATCATACGGTTTTTCTTCGAGAATCTCCGGGCTCAGATAATACGGTGTTCCGACTAAAACCGACATCTCAGGACTGTTGCTTATAAGCCTACATAAGTACAAGAATACGGAATTTTCAAATTAGTACAATCCATCTGATAATCCTAAATCTTTCTACATGTACATGAAACGTTGCTCGTTCAAACTTTATTTTCCTTAGCATTTAATTGAAGCTAAATAGTACATCATTCTCGTAGGAGGCCAAAAAATGAAATAATTCATTATTCTCTGTAAACTCTGCTGATTAAATAAATTCCTTTGGAAGTTCATTTTTTTTGTTGGTAGATTTAGCTTTTAATTGCGGTTTCTGACCGTATAGTTTATACGTGTAACTTACTTGGCTACCCCGAAGTCTCCGATTTTGATCACTTTCCTGTCGTCTGTGTACAGCATGTTTTTGGTCTTCAGATCTCGGTGTATGACAGCGTTGTCATGAAGAAACTGTGACATAGAGAAATGGGAGGATAAAGACGTACATATTTTCGAAGGTGCTTGTGATTAAAGCATATTTTTCCTTTCTTTTAAATTCCTTTAATTTAATACTTGAAAGAATATATAACAAACAGGAATTTTCAGTGGCATATAAGCAATCAATGGCATGTATTAATGACATGCACAAAAATACCACCGGCCTGTCGTGCCTGTTTTGAGGGTGCATTCTTCGAAATTAACTACTGTCATAGTTCGATACCTAACCGGTATACGTACCTCTACGCCTTTGGAGATTTGTACTAATGTACTAACGAACTCCTCCTCGTCCATAACCTTGTTATCTTTCTTAAGATTCTGTATGTGTTGATACAAGGTACCCCCGCCGCAGTACTCCATTACTATACATGCTATCTTGTCCACCACTATGTGGTAGTGATAATGTACCACATTTGGGTGGTCCACTTGCTGTAAAATCTCTATTTCTCTGTTGACAAGTTCTCGATGACGGTCTGTGGCATTTTCTAGGCTTAAAAGCTTGGCGGCATAAATTTCGCTCTGTAGTTAAAAAAACAAGATGTGTTTGCGAAACACTGGTGCCCCCGTATTAGATATATATTTTTCAAAGGAAGTTCCTCAAATGTGAGTCTATCAAGGTCAAGGAATGAAAAGCTGTTACTTAAGAGACAGGACTTGTCCTCTATGAATGTACCTGCGAAATATGAAAGTCCTGGCCCAACAGTTCAAAACTTATGGGCAAGGTTAAAGTTTCTCAAAATTTGGTCAATATCAAGGTATAGCAAAAGATCAAAAGGTCAAAATTTTTGGTATCCAAAAGAAGGCCTTAACGCTTGTCACATGGTATATAACTGTGAAATATAAATGCCCAAGTTATGTCAAAAATATCCGAGGAAAGTCTTATCACATTGAATACACATAGAAAAGTTTAAAAGCTCTAGCACCTACTGTTCAAAAAAATACAGGATTTTAAAGTAATGGGTATTTTTTCTAAATTGAATCAAACTCCAAGTTCAAGATCAAAGGGTCAAATATGCTGATACCCCAATAAAGGTCTTTTCCAAGGAATAAACGTTTAGAATATGCGAGCCATAGCTCTAACCAATCAAAGGTTTATTTAACTTAATAAGATTTTTGCAATGTTAATTTTTTACCGAACAAAAAGATAAACAGACAGACAAACAGACAGCAAGAGAGAAAGATGGACAGGGCAAAAATTATATACCCCAAAGTCCCGGATTTCGGGGCATACAAATGCTTTTTATCAAAAGTGGACAACAATGAATCAGATTAGAACTAGCTAACGGAAGATGAGTTATGATATATAGTGCTCATACACGAAAACAAGAGGCCCATGGGCCTTATAGGTCACCTGAGCATCATGCAACAACTTTCCAGTGATTGAATTTGGTTCATGTTTTAAGCTACATGCTATGGCATTCAAAATTTTGAAAGAGGCACCATTGCTCCTCATAAATATACACTTAGCAATTGCTAAGTTTTGTTATTTAATACCCATAGGCAGGGTAGGGAAACAAAAATGCATTTCAATTAATCAGTAATATTCAGCAATAATCAGTAGTGCCCCTACCACACATAAACCCCTGACCCTTGGTCCACACATTGCACAATTTTTAAAAAGGCACCCTTGCTTATCAAATTATTGTTTGATTAATACCAAGGAGCAAATTTCAAACAATTTATTCATTTTCAGTCTATAAGTAGAGCCCCCCATAGTACCCCTGACCCTGGGGCCTTGAAATTCACAATTCTGGAAGAAGGATCCTTGCTCATCATAACTATATGGATAGTTCATCCGCTTAATACCCAGCAGCAGAGAAGAAAATTTTCCAATATTCCAGGTATATTCACTATATAATCATTATACAGCCCCGCCCTAACACCAGAACACCTGAAGGTGGAGCAATGAAATTCAAAACTTTGGTAGAGGCTTTCTTGCTCATTATAACTATGTACTTCGTTAGTTTATTTAATACTTAGGAGCAGCTAGAGAAGAAGATTTTTAAAGAATTAATGTATTTTTCACTATATGATCAATAGAGCCCCGCCCTAACACCAGAACCCCTGACCCTGGGGACATAAAAATTCACAATTTTGGAAGAGGCACTCTTGCTCATAATAACTATGTACTTAGTTAGTTTATTTAATACCTAGGAGCAGAGAAGAAGACTTTCAAAGAATTAATGTATTTTCACTATATGATCAATAGAGCCCTGCCCTAACACCAGAACCCTGATCCTGGGGCCATAAAATTCACAATTTTGGAAGAGGCACTCTTGCTCATCATAACTATGTACTAAGTTTATTTGATACCTAGGAGCAGAGAAGAAGACTTTCAAAGAAATAATGCATTTTCACTATATAATCTATATGGCCCCGCCCTAGCATTAGAACCCCTGACCCTGGGGCAATGAAATTCACAATTTTGGAAGAGACAGCCTTATTCAACATTACTATGCACTTGGTTTGTTTATTTAATGCCCATGAATTTATGATTTTCACTATATAATCTATATGGCCCCGCCCTAAGAATTTCAAATAACTATGAATTTATTTAAAACCCATTCAAAGAAATTATTCATTTTCACTACATAATCTATATAATAGCCCCGCCCTAGCACTATAGCCCCTGACCCTGGGGCCATGAATTTCACAATTTTGGTAGAGACTCAATACTGATTGAAATCATGCCCACAGTTTGACTGCTTGATGTCCAGGAGTAAAGAAGATTTTTAAAGATTGCACTAACTTTAGTGGTTTTGATCCCACCCCCAGGCCCCAGGGGGACATGGACCATGAAATTCACAATTTGTGATCCCCTTCACCAATAGATGCTATGTGTCAAAATTGTTGGAAATTGGTTCAGAGGTTTCAGAGAAGAAGCTGAAAATGTTCAAATGTTAACGCACGACGACGGACGAAAACAGATAACAATAGGTCACCTGAGTTTACTCAGGTGACCTAAAAATTTACGCTTAGATTAAAATATTTAAATAAACCTTCTCAAAATTCTGTAAACAATACACAACCGTTGTGAAATGTGATACACATTGCACAATTATGCTGTGCGTTTCAAAACATAGTTGTTAGAAAGGGTGAACATTCAAGTGTAAAATTAAATGTTTCAGTCCGGTACGTAGTCTGGTTTTCGCCTCCAACACTGCTTTTTTCACAAAACAAAGTGAAAAACGCAGTGGCGGGGCAGGAAACTAGATTATCCAGTAACAGTCCTATTAATCTACACAAACCCATCGTTTTTTTCTGCACTGACCTTGAACCCCGTGGTACCTGCCTCCTTCAGTCGGGCTTTATACACAAACCCAAAACTCCCCTTGCTCACAAACTCAGTAAGTGCACAGTCACCCAACTCCTTCCCTGCTAAGTTTTCCATTATTTTTCAATCTTCACACAAAAAATTGTAATTTTCAAAATCTGGCAAAAAATGATGCAGCTCATTTTCTGATTAAAGTAATTATCTGTTTATTGGGGTACACTTTAAACTTCCTCTTTCGGATTCCTCCTACAGACTACAGACCTTCCAAGTTTAAAATTCTGGTTCGATCTCTATCAATCGTTCTACACAGTATTTTAAATATTTCTTTTAAAAATGTTATAATGGGTTTTGTTTACTATTGTCAAAATGCCAAAAATCACCTGTGGGTTAGAAAGTACATTCAAAAGGAAAAAAACAGGTAACAATTATACAGTATCTCTCTACAAAGTCATCAATACATATTTCACAACGTATCAGATATATTATTTTAGGATTTTAATTTCTGACTGTCTATTTTCCCTTTTTTTTCATATTAGATGGAAAATATTACTTTCATGCTAATTATTTTCAAATATATATATTTATTTATTTATCTCTCATAAATTTTATTTTTCCTACTGGTACTTAATTTTTCTCAGGGGAATTTCCTTTTCAAAAGTGTTAATCTCACCTGAAAGAAATAAAGGTAGAATTTAACTCTATAGGTGGTGGTCTACCATTTGGTATACATGGGTTTGAGCAGTGATCAGGGTTCCTGATCGTGCCGACACCTGTAGTGAAAAGGTGTTTCGTTTTTTTCTGAAGGACCTGCAACTTTCACTTCAACGTGCTGAGCGCTTTGTGAAGGAAAAGTTGCTACTTACTTTTTATCAACTTAGGTCAGTCGCGACGTGATTCGCACAACCGACCTTCGGATCACGGAGAGGGCGCTCAAACCGACTGCGCTACATTGGTTAAAATGTGAAGTGGTTTTGTAATAATGTATGGAAAGATTGATTGTATGTTGTTTAACGTCCCTCTCGAGAATTTTTCACTCATATGGAAACACCTCCAGTTGCCGGTGGGGAGCTACAAATTTTGTTCTATACTCGGCACTTAGGGTCATTGAGCAGTGAGGGATTTTTTTCTTGCCAGCACCTACTGCGACACGGTATCTCGGTTTATACGGTCTCATAGGAAGGACTGGTCTCCACGTCCCACAGTGGGATTCGAACCCGCGACGTAAGGATCAACTCCTTACTTCGCGACTCTAGACGCTCTAACCACTGCGCCACGCAGGCGACTTAATATGAAAAGAAGACAGACAGCTTTGAACACTTTGAACAGAAAATCTCATTTTTTGAACTTTAGTCCTTAACTGAGCTATAAATAAGTCCCTTGTAATTATTTGTTACCGTTTATTATTCCATAAAATGTTGTTTGGTTGTCATTAAAATACAAGCAATTGAAGGAATATACTGTACTCAATAAAGTAACTTAATAAAGTTATAACTATGAAGATTATGCATGTAGTATTATTCTGATAAAAGAATGTGTCCAGCAATTAACATTTATATACTGTAGATAAAGCAAATTTTAGACATCAAAATTAAAAGTGCAGTTCTTGGTTGTTAGAAAACAAAGCACACTATAAATTTAATACTTCTAAATACTAGTAGATTTTGACATGCATGAGGCTACTAGGTAAGATTTTATAAACAAAAAATAAAAAATTTCACCGACAAATTAATGTTGATTACATGTATGCACTTGTCTGAAGATATTTCAGTTGTTCAGTGCAATGATTAAAAATCAAAAGTCAAGCAGAACATGATATTACGTACAGTTACAATAAAACATTTTTACAACTTTAACCTGTTTTCTTGGTTGTTAATTTCTTGTATGCCAAATTTTGGTCTCTGACTTTATGATAATAATACATTGTACATGTACTACTGTGCACATACACTACACACTCAACATTTGCAGAATCTTCATTTTCAACTGATTACTTAATGCAATTATAAACCGAGTCTTGAAAACAACTAATGGTTTCAATAATGTATTATTGTGTACATAAATTAGCAGACATGAAGCAGCTCGATACACACTATAATATGATCACCACTAAAATAAGTACATTAACAGTCAGTCATTCAAACACTTAGATATAAAGTGTTGTTGGTTTCCTTGTGTCAACATATATGTATATATCATATACACAGCAGATCTATCAGCTAATAAAATACAGAGTAGAACTCCTTCATAACAAAACAAATATCCTTGCCCAATATAAATTACATTTTAACCATTTTCCATCACTGACATCTCTATTACCAGGGTTTCATTGAAGTGATCTGACCAGTGACAGTCTACTCCCTTTTTCTTTCATGGTTTTTTTATTATTATTATTGCCTTCTTGGATATCTAAAAGTTTAATCTCGTCATATAAGTTCAAGATAGTGAGATTTGACTATATAGATATACTTTTGCATAGGGATCAAAAGCAAATTGAAAGTGGGGTGGCTCATTGAAAGGGGGTGGGCTAAACCAGTGAAAAAAGGTAAGCCCCAAATTTCACTGCTTATATTATGTATATCGTTAGAAAAAAAAGTGGGGGGAAATGTTAATGCCTATGTATTGGATCTTCTATGAATTTACATGTAAATAAAGTTTATTGCTATGCCAAAAGACTGATCTCCAATGTTTTATACACAAGTGTTGGTCATTATCTCTTACTTTTTGTGTTCTGCTAAATATAACATCAAGATATTCAAAAATTTTACATCAAAGTTGAAACTTCAATATACAAAGAGTTAACCCTGATTTTTATTTAGCATATTAAGATACAAAAGTTCACTTTGTTGAAAACCGGTCAATACTATAAATAAACAATTTGGAAGTAAAAAAAATTGCTTATTCATACACATAGATTGATTGTTGAAATTGAGACTACCAGTATACATATGATTGATGTGCATTGTAGTATATTTAACAAAGAAGCATATTACACTGCAAAATTTATATATAAAAATTTAAAGACCAATAATAACCGGAACATGCATGTGTTTAAAATTCCTAAATCTAGTATATAGCTACAGGTTCTTAAATGCTACTACTAAATCCTGAATTTCAATCCATTTTGATATGCATATTAACTTCTCTGTTAAACCCTGTTTTTTTAAGATCATTCATTTAATGGAGCCTTCTTAAAAATTAGGTTATTCTGATCACATTGCTATGTACATTGCACATTTGCAGTGTAGTATGCTAAGTATTATAAACTTTTATTTCTAATGCGACCTTTGTTTAAAGTATACTTCATTTTAAAATTCTTCATGACAAGCCTTAACAACATATCTTACTTTTGGTAACTAAAAAAATAATCCTAATTTTTATTTTACTACAACATGCTTTAAAAAAATACACAATAAAATAACAGATCCAGACAAAATGTCTAAAGGAAACAAATAATTTATAAAACTGCCATAAACAATACTTTCTATCACAATACAATTTTGAACTTTAACTGTTTGTCCTAGGAAGTCCTTTGAGCTCTGTTAGGAAACGTTGAGCGATTGTTTGACGGTGTTAACGATGTTAAAAACCTGAGGGAAAGAGTTATCTTCTAGTGTTTTTGCATACGGAGTAGGTACATCTGCACCTGTGACTCTCATGACCGGAGCATCCAGATAGTTAAAGGCCGGACCTGAAAGTTAAATGCAAACACACTTAAATTTTCTTCATTGAAAGATTTTACATTATTCCAATATGAAACAATGAATAAATTTAATTTAAAATGAGTTTCATGCATTGGATGATAACAAGTCTAAAACAATGCCATAATGCAAGAACCTTAACAAATTTTAACACCCATATTGTTAATAAATTTCCCAAATTAAGGGGGCTCTCTACAACGTCACAACATGGCGTACTTCCGTAAAAACGCCATTTTGATCCCAAATGATCAGATTCAAATTCACTTAACACCGATAAATCACTGAGTATAACACAACATGCGATACTGTGGATGGAATGTACATTATATTATTTAATTATTAAATAATACATTTACAAACTTATTAGAATAAGATTTTTAGATGAGAAAAAAATGATATAAAACATGGCTTGTCCATATGCTAATTCATCATTACGTGTCAAAACGCCATACATTCAAGAAATTTATTTCTCCAGTAAGCATATATGCTTTTCAGCAAAATATATCCCCCCAAAAATGCAAATTTAATAAGATAAGACATATGTATTATCTTCCCATCGACTAGAGGATACTCTGTTCTCGATTTGTATACACCCGAATGAATGGTTATACCCTGTGAAGTTTCGCATGACCCAAACGTTTGATCACCATTGATTGTCAGCTGTTTACAAGTATGGGAAACATGCAGGTTTTAGACGAAGTGTGCATTTGGTTATAGGAATTTCTTTTACCGCTTTTGGCCATTTACCATCTTAACTTGTTTTGTTATATATAGCACTGAATAAGTAAGTAAATCTACCTTTCTCAATACCATGAATTCACTAAATACATGTCTTTGTCATTGACTGGAAACGCGATGATTTTCGCTTAAACTCATTGAAAAACAATACATGTACAATACGAACTTCTTTCAATGTCCTTGCGTGACATTTGTTTAATACTTGTGCAAGTAGAGTTTATTTGAAGTTTATATAAAAAAAACAGTACCAAGATATTTGAGTCCACTCTTAAAGCGGATCTCTCACACCTGAATTTTTGTGATGTTTATAAATTTTTGACAGTTTTTCAATTTTTTTCAATTTCTTTTTTTCATTGTTTTTACCCTTTGATATTATATATCTTTTCAGATATTGAAGGGGATCCAACCAGCTATTCTCAAGAAAATGCTGTTTTAGTTTTTCTTTTGTCTATTTTTGTAAATTTAAATAAAAATTATGTTGATTTTTTTTTATCTTTGCTGGTTATTATTTCAATATTTTATAACACTAAACTTTGAAGAGAAATTTAAAGCACTGGACTTTTAAAAATATAGATAGGAGGGATTTTAATAAAATAAATAAAATATTTCTAAAAATAAATTGAAGTACTTTGGAACCTTATTTTATCGGATATGGGGCCTATTATTAGAAACAAATGCATGCAACAAAAATCAGTTATACTTTATAGGTGTAGAGAGCCCCCTTAAGCATGATATTAAAGGCATATTGACAGTAAAACATGTTAATAGCAAAGTGAAAGGCACATGCAACTTTGTCCGCTATGAATGAAATTCAATAGATCGTTGAAGATTACAATAGGTTTTAAAAGCACAGGATTGAAAATCACTTTGCTGTTACATTGAATTCAGTATGTGTTTGCTTTAACCGTGTTTTACTGTAAATGTGTCGGAGCATGCCCTAGCAATCTTGAAATTCATTGTCCTTACTTTCTATAATTCTGGCACAGACTTCCGCCCCTATCCCACACTGCGGCCAGCCCCCCTCCACTGTCACCAGGTGGTTGGTTTTGATGACTGACTGGATAATGGGGGCATCATCCATTGGTCTCAGAGTTCTTAGGTTAATTACCTTAAAAAGAAATGTACTTAAAGGTACTTGGACACAGATTTGAAGTTAATTTTTTCTCTATAATATTACCACTTATATATTTTAATAACGTTTCACACAAAAATTAATTAAAAATCTTATTTCATTTATAAGTTAATAAAATTTTTATTTTTTTGGCGGGTTCCATTGACACGTCCTTGTACTTTCACAAATTTTAACTTTATTCTTAATCCTTTGGAAAAATGGCAATCTTGTTGTGTATTAATGAAAAATATTAATACTATAATACAGAAAATTCAGAGTAGACATGTTCGAAAGCAAAACAAACACACAATATATTGTCAGTCTGTGCAGTTGTGGTGAGCAGATTTTGGCGTTTAAACGCACCCGGTGAATCGTAAACATTAAACAATAACAGGCTCTTGCCTTGTTTACAAAAACTGTGTACATAACACGAGTGTGCTCGATTTGCTAAACTCTGTACACAACGGAATGACGATACTTGTGAAAGAGTTTTGCTTTCTAACATTTCTACTCTGAATAAAATTATTTTTCTGGATTTAAGTTTTAATATTTCTCATTAATACACAACAAGATTGCTACTTTTCCTAAGGATTAAGAATAAAGTTAAAATTTGTGAAAGTGCAAGGATGTGTCAATCAAACCCACCAAAAAATTAAAAGTTTTAATATCTTTTTAATGAATTGAGATTTTTAATTGATTTTTGTGTGAAATGCTATTAAAATATATTATTCGTGATATTATACAGAAAAAATTAACTTCAAATCTGTGTCCAAGTACCTTTAAAAGATTTTTTTGCAAACAATTCATCTCATATACATGTAATAGCTATGGGCTTCAAATCTGTAGAAATTATATTAATTGAATTTACAAAAATATGACTCATTTTAAAACTTATCAAGAGATGCTGGGAATGTTTCTAAAATTGACAAGCTTGTCAACATTTTTCAATTCTTCACAATTCAAATCAAAATAATACCTATACATTATTAAGCAATTAAAGATAAGGCTAACAAAGATAAAAGAAAACTGGTGGTCAAGATAATTAAGTACAACTAATCAAAACACTGATAATCAATGTTTAGTCTTACTTCAGCTTCTATTCCGATTCCTGCTAATTCATTGGCTGCCTCTAAACAGTGTCCTACGTATCTAGAGTGTGACACTAGGGTTATGTGTTTTCCTGTCAAGATACACAACTCAATAAATATCTTATTTGGAAAAAAATTAAAATACATGTACAGCCTTTTTCTTCAATTGAATAGCATTCACCACACAAGGTTTTACATTACTAATTTTTAATTCCTGAATTCTTTTCAATGTATATGTAATACCTAAGTTAATATAGTTAGATATCAGAGCAGACATTTCAACATCAGCCTCTTCGAGAAATTTATTAACAAACCCTCTTTGTGAAACCTACCTTCTCTTTCTATTTTACTTTTTCCTATGGGGATGAGAAAATCGGGTGAAAGTGCTTCATCTGAGATTTCAAAGGAGGAACCATACATAATCTCATTCTCCAGACATACCACTGAAATGTCACAAAAAGGTAATTAATTCTCAATAAATAATAATTATATATCATGTATTAAACAATTCCAAAACAATATAAAACAGATCATTTTTTGTTTTATTTCTTTATGATTTAAAATATTTATCGAACCTAAGTAGAATATGTCCCAAAATATATAAAATTGGTGGCGTAAATCAAATTCAAGGTTTTTTACAATGCTTGGATCTGTAGCTCTCTGATTTATCTGTCCAAATTTTCTCAAGCAGAGAGCTACAGTTCTGCAGCTATAAAAACCTGGGTTGGGGTCACAGATGACTGACTTCAGCAGCACTTACCCGGATTGGGGTCACGGATGGCTGACTTGAGCAATCCTCGACAATCCTCTGGACTGAAAGGGGAGACAACTTTCAGTCCCGGGCAGTGACTGTACCACGAGGCGAAACACTGGGAGTGCTGGGCCGCTACCCCAGCAGCTGCACCGTTAGGGCCGCGGAACGTGATCGGAACCGGGACCTAGCGTATAAAAAATATACTTATATAATAAGACTATTCCTTAAATGTACATAATACTGACTATTCCTATTGGGTTTATAGCAAGCTTTCCACTAAAACCTACTCTGAGTAAAATCTGAGGCATCAGACAAACAGACCTACAAAACTATATTACCTCACAGAAAACATAAATGGAGACATCTGTAGATCTTAACATGGAATTCAAATGAATAATTTGATAATGTATTAAAATCAAATTTTGCCAAGTGTTAGTTAACTGATATACTGTTTATATGCATAAAATAGTATTTAAATGATTGATTACTGTTTAACACCGAGTCTGCCATTTTTCAGCCATATTTCAGCTGGAGAATCTTTATCATTGGTTTTGAAAAATTTAAGTGTTTCTGGCTGCCCCCATTGAGCCTACTCTTTTTCAAAAACCAGAGAAAAGATCAAATGATACATAATTGTGTGTTAATACATGAAACACTTATTTTCACTATCTACATTACACACTTACCGTCCCTGCTGACATGTAGAAGGTTTTGGCCGCTGAGTTGATAACCTACAAAATTGGAAAAATTATTATCTAAAATTTGGGCATCAACATGAACCAAATCCTGTTGTAGGTCTGCATCCGGTATCAAAGTTTATCATTACCTGTTGTTCTATAATGAAACACTGAATGGAAATTCTGTTTGTTGATGTCACAGATCTAAATTTCTTTCATGCTTAAATCTCACACTTTATTGTTATCATTACACAAACATACATGTATATCATTATTTGTGGAGTGACATGAGTCCACACATTTCTTCCTTTTAAAAGGGTTTATTAAACAAGAACATTTTTTTTCACAACTTATTCATGCTATTTAATTCTGGAAGTGTTGGATTGGTAGAGAAGTTTTAAAATTATCATGCTGCAAAATTGGATATATGTATATATTTTTTAATACTTACTTGGTCTATAGCTTGCATTGAAAAGTTGAAGGTCATGAATTCACAAATTGGTTTTAGTCCTGCCTGCAAAATTGTATACATACATAAACATACATAACTGAAGATATATTCAAATCACTTGGCATTAAATTTAATCTCCTTTAATGCTTAAAATTGTACATATTTGTGACTTTCATGTCACAAATTTCAGATTTCAAAAGCATATCAAACTGCATGCACTAGTATTTGTCATTTTGAAACTCAACAATTGTGATTATTTTGCAAACAAATAATGTTGAAATATAAAATATACTTTATTGCTAAGAGCTAGGTGAGCAAATTAACCATTTGACAAAATAACAAAAACGTAACATACCATAGCTGCACCAACAGCTAGACCCGCAAATCCCATCTGTTTAGAAAGAAAAATAAACATACATGGGATTAATTCTCTCCTTTTTTTAATGTGAAATGGAAAGTTTTCAAACTTTTTTATATAAAAAATATACATCATTTGATTTACCCATACATGTATCAGAATTTCATTTAATTAAAATTTACTAAAATAAGTTAAGAAAAGGGAAATCTATGAGAATGCCAATGTTACAAATCTAATTATTAATTTTTTCAATTTTTTTTCAAAATGAACATGTTACATTGCAAAGCATTTAGAGATAAATAAGTATAAGAGTTGAAACTGCTGTAAATATTAAATTTTATCATACTTACCTCTGTAATTGGGGTATCTATTATTCTTTTGTCGCCATATTTAGCATGCAGTCCTCTGGAAACCTGAGAAAAAAGGCAATAAAAATTTTAAGAAACAATTTGAAATAATTTTATCAAGAACAGCAAGTTGGATCAAAAAGAAATTAGGTAAAAAATTCTCTTGCAATTTCTTTGCAAAATTTTTGATTTTTGTCTAAATATTCTGTTTAATAAAACTTGATGGACCTTTAATAGTTCAAATTTAGCCCAGAATTAAAGATTTTGAGATCATAATCCAATAAATGATTTTTAAAATATGGAGAGAGACAGAAACAATTATTTTTTTAGTTAAAACATTGTCTTTTGCAGGAACTCACCTTATAGGCGCCATCATAGAGAGCTACTTCCTCCCCCATCAAGAAAACCTTCTCATCCCGAGCTATTTCCTCATCCATGGCGGAATTCAGGGCATCTCGCACCGTCATCTGACAATCATGAACACAAAAACATTTTAATAAAGTTAGAATCTGATAAATGAAAGGAAAATATACACAGGTATGAAAATATTTCACACCTTTTAAATAGTTCACCTGGCTATTAAGAAACAAAAAAAAGAGGATAATCATTATTCTATAGATCATCGGGGTCGCATTAGGCATGTTAGGCAGACATTTATTAGGGATACAATCTTGTGGAGTGAATTGTCATTTTTGAAATTGAGTTTTACAATTTGCACTTGGTTCCAAGCATGTTAAAATAAAGTTTGAAAAAAGTATTTAAATATCAAATATTAGGAATAATTTGCATGACATTGTACATGTATATGGAAGGGAATTACTGCCAAAAGTCTATTTATCGTCCTTTTATTCTTATAATATTCTGCCTACTTCTTTATTTTTTGTTAACATGGTTAGCATGGTTAGTATTGTAATTATATGTCACTTTAATTTTATTGTTCTAATATTCCTCTTTATTACATTTCACTTTGCACCTTGGTAAGATTAGGTTAGCAATTCCAGGCCGGGATTATTCAAGATTTTTTAAGTTTTCTGCCTCAATACTTTATCAATCAAACCCCAATTTTCAAATAATGTTTTCTTTAATATGTTCAGGCATGTAACCAGTGCATGTCATTTCCTTGGAAGGCTGGCTAGATTATATAAGACTTCCCCAGGAAGACTGACAATGTACTATTATATAGCAATACATCCCTAGGAAGACTAGCTATATGGTATGACTTCCATCAGGAAGTTTTGAGCATACATACACAATAGACAATAGATATTTAGAGGATGTGAAAACATTCTTGCACTTTATCTTTTACCCAAAGCACATATAAGAATAGAGGCTAAATGAGTAAAATTTCCCAAATACAGTAATTTTTTTTTACTGAAAAGAGGAAAAATTTTGTTTTATTGTAATACATATATTTCATTGAAAACAACATTTCGTAAAATCACTGGCAAATGGTCAATTTTTCTTCCAATTTAATTATTTATTTCAGTATTTAAACTAGAAAATGTGTAGTATCTTTCTTTAAAAGATCATTACAAATTTAATTTTTTGTAAAAGATAGTTCATCACTTCACATCAGTTCTAAAATTCAAGATCGATGTTAACTAAAGAATTCATTGTGAGTATGTGACTTAAAAATTTATGCCATACTTAAATTACAATATTTTAAATTATCAATGCTGCATGATCAGATAAAAATGTTTAATCAACTACAACTATCAGGTCCAGCACAATCTCTTGATTAAGCTATATAGCTTTAAAAAGCTATATAGCTTTATTAAGCTATTCAAAATAGCTTGATAAAGCTATTTATATGCAATTTTTCACAAAAACGTTCTTTGAAAGAAATAAACAAAAAGTCGCAAATATTTGACTATTCATATATGTACTATGAACTATCAAAAATACAACCTAAATCATACAAAGTTCTTACATTGCTGCTGTTGAATACTTTTAAGCAAAATATGAATTTCCATTGTTTGACTAACTGTGTGTGCGGTGAGGCGTGGGTAAGTATGATTGCTTCTCATTGTGCTGAACTGTTACTAATCAATTATCCTGTTGGCCATAACTGGCCTCCTTTATAATTTCATTCAAGAAATAACTGTGTGGTCACTCATCAATAGCCCCAAAACTTTTAAAACTTTGAGTACAAAGTCTCTCAAGGAGACGCAATTTGGTGAGTGATTTTTACATGCATTGTATTCAGAAGAGTACAAATTTTAATATTTCCACTGCACCAAGGTGCACTTTTTGCACATGTTGAAAAAATAACACATTTGAGAAAAAAGTAAAAATAGCTTAATCAAGCTATTCTGAATAGCTTAATAAAGCTATATAGCTAAATCAAGCTATATAGCTTAATCAAGAGATTGTGCCGGACCTGACTATTTCTTGGATTATCTAGAAATTTGTGATAAAATCTGCCAAGAAATGAAGCCATACCAGTGATTTTACAAAATGTTGTTTTCAATGAAATATATATAGAACAAACAAAATTATCTTCACTTTTGGCACACATCTGTACTTCTCCGAAAAAGGAATATTGTGCCCAACCTGTTTACATGCGATTTTTTGTCTTTTTTATATAAAAAGAAAAATTGTGAAAAGTTGCATGGAAATAGCTAAATAAAGCTACCTGAGGTAAGTTCATGAATCTACGTAGGTAATTCTAGCTATGTAGCTAAATCTAGTGGACATTACCTGCGTCGCTGCCCTTGAGACAGTGGTAGAGAAGTTTCTCTGCACAACACCCCATGATGATTTCTATAAATAAACATCATTCGAATCAATAACAATATTTTAAACATATTCAGCGTTTCACACTCTCAAAAACTCAAGTAATTTGTTTTTATAGCTTAGAAGACTTACTCCGAGCAATCGTGCCACTGCTTTCGACGCCATGTTTGTTTTCTGCAGTCACCTTCACATGACGTGATGCACAAGTTCATGATAAATCGTTAATAATGATTATTTTGATGAACCCAAGCCCATTAAAATTTCAGAATATGATAGGGATAACACTTCATCGATAATTAATAGTTTAAATGTTTCCTATATTTTTCTTATGATATCTAGAATGTTTTCGCAGATTCGTCTGCCTTTTAAGGGTTTATCTCAAAACACAAAAATCACACATACTAGTAGTGACGATAGTAGACATAGCGTTACTTAACACGGACAATTTTTCAAGATATAGATATATAACTTTTTTTCATAGATAGCCTATTTGTAGAAAGATGATAAAAACATAAAAATGGCACTCTGAAAATTTTTATTATTTTTCCTGTAGGAGAAACTGCATATATATATGATATAAACTCAACGGGGGAAGGGGGGGGGGCTTGATCCTGAAAAATTATTTTTGAAGTTTTAAATTAGTTATTAGAAGGACTCATAAGCTAAATAAACAAGCCTAATAGCTATAATCAATGTTTAAATTTTACAGATTTAATTTTAATAGATCACGGATATTTATTTTTATTAATATATTTTATAGATCTATCTATCTTTTTATTTTACATATCTTCTTTAAAAAATCAAAGCTTTTTAAGATATTAAATATTATGAAAATTGAGATATGAGTTGCATGGAAAAAAAGAAAATAAAATGTCTTCAGCACATCGCTTAATCTTCCAGTACCCTGTAGAAACATGGCTTAATTATGAGTGAACAATATATCATTTCATGAGCTTAACGTGCCAATGCTTTTGGAATAATAAATATAAAGGATATTGTTAGGCCATAATAAAAATATTCCTAGATTCTCATCCCCGCCCGCCCCGATTTTATACCCCCGTCTCGATTTTTTTAGTTGGCTCGCGTAGCGAGCTACTCCCTGTCGACATAGCCGTTTCAGAGCTGTAAATTTTTTCACGCATTCATCAAGGTGATCCATACGCCAAATATAATAGTTCTAGCAAAAAATGCTTTGGTTTGATTGATTGAATAAACTTAAGAGGTAAAAACTGTATAAAATTTCATACTGTAACATTATTTATGCCTTCATGCTTTTAAAGAAATTTTTGATTAAATACCTGTACGATGTACAATTACTGCGTATGAATATATGTTCAAGCATGTTAGGCAGAAATCTTCCCATCTGAAGTTTATTTATAATTGACGTCACACAAACACCTGCTGCTCTCATTAGCTGCAGCTAGTTGTTGTTGAAAATCTATTTTTAGAATCCAGATTTGCTGTGGGAATCTTTAACCTAATTATTCCATAACACTGACCACTTCAGCTAGTGTGCTGAAATTCATCTCTGAAAATCAAAATTGGCGTCAAATACATTTATTTATGCATGAAAATATAATATTCAATCTCTTAAGATGCAAAATAAACTGAATATATTAAGGGTGCCCAGATGTATGAAAAAGCTCAATTGACTCGAGCGGTATAGCCTTTCAGGCCTTTGATTTAATTTCTTATACATATGGGCAGAAATATATTCAGTTATTTTACCTTTGAACTTTATTATAGTCTGAAACATAAATAAAGAATATTGCTTTTCCTTTATAATAAATCTTTTTATTCTATATTTTCACTAAAAAATCCCGCGAAAGTCTTTTTGACAGCTGAAAAGATGGTAATTGCTGTAATACATGCGTATATAATTTAAACAAGGGTCACTAGTTGAAAAAGATTGGTGATGATGCGAAGTAAGAGATAATCGAACCTTTACCATGACTTTTATTCGGGTATTGTAGATAAAACTAGGGCTAATTGTAACGGGAACCGTTACAGATGTTCCCCAAACGCTCCCCAACTCCCTTTTGGTGCCATACTCCCTTTAAGCTTCATTAAAAACGACAAACTCTATGCATTTTACGCTTTAACAACGTTTCCCTGAAGTATACCAAATATATTCAAATTTTAGCATTTGCACGCGTGCACATGTAAATGCATGTGCGTATAGACCATATTCTCTTGTCTACACTATCTATATACATTAATATAATAAAATAATAAAGCATTTAATCCAAAAGTATTAAAAAATACGCTTCATCAAGTGTAATTTTGATTTTACCCATCTCGCGTGCATGCACGTGCATGCATGTGCATGATGACCTTACCTTTTTGTAGGAATCGACTATGTCTATCTATGTTCTAAATCCCATCCTGTTTGGTTGAAAATCAAAGGAGTTATACCCATTTAAAGTTTTAGCCAATCAGATTGCAGCGCACGTGCATGCGCGTGTTTTCATGATACCTGCTATATATAATATTGTAGTATATCCTAATGCATGACTATGTTTAAAATTTCAAAGCATTTCGTCAAAAAACAAAAGAGATATTGAAATCTTTGTTTTAGCCAATCAGGCGCACGTGCATGCACGTGAGTTTTTAATTTTTGTCATATTATCTAACTATTAATATATCCTTATAGAATGAGTTTCAAAGCATTTCAATAAAAAATGTAAAAGTTATGGCTTTTTATATCAGTCATTTCACTCATTTCACGCGCACGCACGTGCATGCGTATGCGCGCAAAATGACCTTCGTTGTGCACACCTACACTTGACACCTATTAACCCTAAAAAGGTTTTAACTTAGTTGGGTTGGAACACTACAAAAAAATATCCAGAACAAAGAAGAAAAAAAAGAATAATAATAATAATAATAATAATAATAAGAAACCGAGTAAAAACAATATGTTCCCAAACTCCGTTTGGGGAACATAATTACACCGATTGACCAGGTCAATAAAAAATCTGCAAAACTGAAAAAATAAAAAAATATATAATAAAAGCCGGAATTTTTAAAAAAAAATCGGATAAATCTAGCTATTTATTTATTATGGCCTTAATTACAATTTTATCAAGGATGGATGATTTACTGTTCTTAAGTTTTCTTCAATATTCATATAATTATCCACGGTGTAATGGAGAAGTTCGTGGACTGGCACTATAAATCTATACTACCAGTATTGTATGTAAGGTATACAGCAGAGTTTGTACATTTTTAATTAATTGTCAATGTTTTCTTTAAAAAAATAGAATATGGCTTTAATCGGATTGGTAAAATTATCATGCAGTTATATACATACGCCAAGGCGATATTCTGGATCCACCTTGCTGAGGCGTTTTTGAGTAGTGTCGTGTAATATTGTATAACCTTTTTTGACTTTAAATCTAAAAAAAAAAATAATAGATAAACGACAGTATGCATTTGTTAAAAAAAATAGAATCTTTTCGGCTTTTGTATATTATGAAGTAGAAAAGAATTAATTTTGGAATTTTCCCGTAAAAAATATTGATTTAAAAAAAGACTAAACAAAATTCATGGTATTCAGCAAAACAGAAAAACAAACAAAACAAAATATTGTGTTAAAAATAGAGAGAAATAGGGGAAAATACATGTACATGTATGCTAAAAATATATATGGAAGGGTGTTGAATATTGAAATCGTCAAATGAAATTTTAAAATGAAATATACTCTAAAAAAAAATTGGGAAATGTCAAAATTTTAGATGCCCTAGCTACGGTTTATTTAAAAAAGAGATAAAAAATTATTCTCTTAATGAATTAAAAAAAAAGTTTTCGCTGTAAGTGATAGTGGCATGGGCGTCGGAAGCAAATTGAAAGGGGGGCTAATCCAAAGTGTGTGTGTGTGTGGTGGGAAGGGGGGGGCTAAACTAGTAAGAAAAGGTAAATTCCAATTTTCAATGCCTACAATGTCTACTTTTGCAAAAAAGTAAGCCCCCCGGTTCCGACACCTATAAGTGGTGACAGAATGGTCAGGGGCATCTTCGCTAGTTATGATGGTTACATGTAGGTGTAGTAAGTGTCGAGTGCTTAAAAATTAAAGATTTTCAAGTATACGTGTCCAAAGTTTGACTCTGAAACTTTTGATACAGTCCCCAAAAGCCATGCTGGTGTGCATCATACAGATATAGGAAAAATCTGGGAAAATTATTTCCTTTTGCTATGATATATTACAATTTTTTTAAATTATTCTAAAGACTTTATATTGAAGTATATTTTTCAAAACATTTAATAAATGAAACATTCGTTTGTTTTATGTGACGTCATCATATTTTACCCAATGAAATAAAAGAATCAACGATTTCGCCGCAACTGTTATAACCGACCCTTCGTTTCGACACGCCATTGAAGAAAGGTGACTGTTAGCCGGCTTTGCCTTTTTGAATGAAATATAATGAATGTAAACTGATTCTTATAAATCATTGCATCTATTTTAAAGGACAACTGATTTTTAAATCGTATTTTTATACTTTGCAGGGCATCATGTTCCGTTCTTTGATAGAAACTGCTCGGAATAATCCTCTAGCCAAACCATTTTTCAACGAAGCAAACTGTCAAAGCAAAGGTAGCGATGCTAGTGGGACAGGAATGGCAGCAGCCGCGACAGGTACAAAAATTACGTGTTTGATTGAAACCATGGCGTTTATATATGAATTTTAGACTTTAACGATTTTTTCATTCACAGTTTTCGTGTACAATGGCTCGCGGTCATGTCAAGGACGCTTGTTATGTTAAAGTTTTAAAATGAAAAAATAGGATTAGAAACACTGATCACAACCAAATAAAATTCGTCTCTGAAGCCCCAAACGTTATGTTATTATATTTTTATTTTTCATCAGACAAGCATTTATCTTCAACTTGTCAAAAATGTAAACATTGCCCTTGTTGTAATTTTGATACCAATAAGTCATAAATGCTATACATCTGCGAGAAAAATTCTGAATTATATATATATATGATATATATTGTTTAATGTTTTAGGAGCCGATGAAGTGAGCTGTGAATTTGGATCCAACAAATATTACGCCCTGTGCGGTTTTGGCGGTATTCTCAGTTGCGGTATCACACACACAGCCGTGGTACCCCTCGATCTCGTCAAATGCCGCATCCAGGTCAACCCAGAGAAATACGGTGGCATTGTCAATGGTTTTAGGTTAACAGTCCAGGAAGGTGGTGGACTGAAAGAATTAACCAAAGGATGGGCTCCTACTGCCATTGGTTACTCAGCACAGGGACTTTGCAAGTTTGGTTTCTATGAAGTTTTCAAGATTGTATATGGAAACCTACTAGGAGAGGTAAATTTAAATTTCAAATAGACATTTTTCCTCTTTTGATGAGTAAAAAATTCCCCTGACAATGAAAAAAAGGAGAAAAAGCTCAAATAATTTTTTCCTTCATCAAAAGTGGAAATTTAAAGTAAAAATGTTCAGAAGATGTGTAATATGGTTTTACGTTGCTATTCTATGCACTTTAAATGGTCACTGAAATGATATTCAGTTGGGCCTCCAAACTGTGCCTACTCTGCACCCACTGGGGGTATGGAGTATTTCCTAGCCTATTTGGATGTAATTCCTCGGTTATTTTGGCATTCCTCCTAATTAGAGGAGGAACCCCAGAATTCCTTCAACTTTTTAAATGTCACCTTCTATTTCAATGGCTAGGGACAACCTTGTAAATTGATTTATTATTAAACATGTAACAGGGCTCTCACACCACTTTTTTTGGGGCCTTCATCAAAATTATCGTTTTGGGAAAAGTTGGTAAAATAAAAAAATTTTGCTTTTCTAGCATTTTGTCATCTATTTAACTCTGGTTTTGAACAAACAGTTAAACAGAACAAACATGGCTACGTAGGCTATTTATGAAAGTACATTAGCTTTGTCATAACCATCTTAGAGTGTTGATATTACGGTTGGGCCTCGATCACATGGACAACTTTGCTTACCAATACAGCGCGAGACTGAACATGCAGAAGCGTGGGTAAGTTTCTAGGTGCATGCAGCTTACTAATATTTAAAGGAAATGTCTATTTTTGAAACCAAAATGATGTGTTTGTCGAAACTACATGACAAGATACTCTGCACTCATTATAGTCATAGTTAGTACACATTTTTGTAAAAACAATAACCTGGTTCCTAATTAGAGGCATTTGGCGCGAACTAGTAAAATAGTCATACAGTTTCACTTTCATTTGCAAGTGTGTTTAAATTTTTTTGCGATTAAGTTTCATGGACTTTCATCTTTAAATTAATATTTTGCTATGGACATTGGGAAATTTACACCTTTCTAAAAAAGGTTTTTTTGCATTTATTATTAAACATGTAAACATGTAATAATAATTCATCCTTTGGCATCTTTTGGGCTGCTTAATATTGGCAACAGGAAAGGTTCAGTATGCAAACTTAAATTACCTGAAGAAACACCACGGTTATCATGGTTATAATAATTCACTCTAATGAAAAACCGAGTTTTTTTTTTCTTCAAAAATAATGTAAATGTTAATACTTTAACAAGAAAAATAAAATATTTGAGCTTTCCCTCTTAAACTGCATTTAGATTTTTTTTCGAATATTTGCTAATTATTTTTTTTCTCAATTTTCAGGAAAACGCCTTCTTGTGGAGGACATCTCTGTATCTGGCAGCCAGTGCTTCTGCCGAGTTCTTCGCTGATATCGCTCTCTGTCCCATGGAGGCGGTAAAAGTCAGAATCCAGACACAGCCAGGCTGGTCCTCTACCCTCCGAGAGGGGTTCCCCCGAATCCTCAAAGAGGAGGGAATCAATGGGTAGGTGGAGTAGTCATTTACACAGAAAAGAGAGACCAATGATATTTTCTTTTTCAATTGAGATCTGTTAAATGTACTTCCTATTAATTTGAGGGGGTTTTTTGTGTTTTTTTGTTTTTTTTTTGTTTTTTTTTTTTTTTTTACAATTTATTTAGAGTAATCCAAGTTCTTTATGTTATCCTCTTTATTTTTAATTTAAGAATGTGAAAGAAAAATTTTATGTTACATCTGTAATTAACATGTTATTAGATTTAGAATCAGGTTATTAACAGGGGTGTGCAATTAGCATCGCCCGACGCCCAGGGCTACCGTTTTTGGGGTTGGGCTAGTGATTTTCTGCAAGGAGGTAGCCCGTCGGGCTAGTAAAAATTTTAACTACACATGCAATACATGAAAAGCACAACCGGTATTTTCACTGGTTTTTAGCTCACCTGAGCCAAAGGCTCAAGTGAGCTTTTCTGATCACAATCTGTCCGTTGTCTGTCGTCGTCGTCGTCGTTGTCGTTGTTGTCGTCGTTGTCGTCGTCGTCGTCGTAAACTTTTCACATTTTCATCTTCTTCTCAAGAACCACTGGGCCGATTTCAACCAAACTTGGCACAAAGTATCCTTGGGTAAAGGGGATTCAATTTGTTCAAATGAAGGGCCACGCCCTTTTCCAAGGGGAGATAATCATGAATTTGTTAAAAATTAATGGCATTTTAAAAAAATCTTCTTCTCCAGAACCGCTGGGCCAGGAAAGATAAAACTCATATGGAAGCATCCTCAGGTAGTGTAGATTCAAATTTGTTCAAATCATGACCCCAGGGGCAAGGGTTGGCCGATAGGAATATATAGGAAAAATCTTTAAAAATCTTCTTCTCAAGAACCACTGGGCCAGGAAAGATGAAACTCATGTGAAATCATCCTCAGGTAGTGCAGATTCAAGTTTGTTCAAATCATGACCCCCCGGGACAAGGGTGGGGCCAAAATGGCCGACCCAAGTTTTACATAGGAATATATAGGAAAAATCTTTAAAAATCTTCTTCTCAAGAACCACTGGGCCAGGAAAGATGAAACTAATGTGGAATCATCCTCAGGAAGTGTAGATTCAAGTTTGTTCAAATCATGACCCCCGGGGCAAGGTTGGGTCCAAAATGGCCGACCCTAGTTTAACATAGGAATATATAGGAAAAATCTTTAAAAATCTTCTTCTCAAGAACCACTAGGACAGGAAAGATGAAACTCAAGTGGAATCATGTAGTTTTCAAGTTTCTTCAAATCATGACCCCTGGGGCAAGGGTGGGGCCAAAATGGCCGAGCCAAGTTTTACATAGGAATATAAAGGAAAAATATTTAAAAATCTTCTTCTCAAGAACCACTGGGCCAGGAAAGATGAAACTCATGTGAAATCATCCTCAGGTAGTGTAGATTCAAGTTTGTTCAAATCATGACCCCCGGGGCAAGGGTGGGGCCAAAATGGCCGACCCAAGTTTTACATAGGAATATAAAGGAAAAATCTTTAAAAATCTTCTATTCAAGAACCACTGGGCCAGGAAAAAAAAACTCATGTTGAATCATCCTCAGGTAGTGCAGATTCAAGTTTGTTCAAATCATGACCCCCTGGGCAAGGGTGGGGCCAAAATGGCCGAGCCAAGTTTTATATAGGAATACATAGGAAATATCTCTAAAAATCCTTCTCAAGAACCACTGGGCTAGCTAGGAAAGATGAAACTCATGTGGAATCATCCTCAGGTAGTGTAGATTCAAGTTTGTTCAAATCATGACCCCTGGGGCTAGGGTGGGGCCAAAATGGCTGTCCCAAGTTTTACATAGGGATATATAGGGAAACCTTTTAAAATCTTCTTTTCAAGTACTTCAAAGCTATGATTAGTGATATTTATATGGAATCATCCTCAGGTAGTGTGAATTCTAGTTTGTTCAAATGATGAAGGCCTGGAAAGGGGGGGGGGTAAATAAGCCCGATGTGCTCAGGTGAGCGCTGTGGCCCCTGGGCCTCTTGTTTGCAATTTAATTCCCAACCAGTGAATATTTTCCAGACAACATGCTCCAACTGTCAATAAATCTCAATAATCTTATCTGTTTTGCAGTATTACCTGACTTGTTTACTTCCAAAAACGATCGTTTTTTTTTTTTCTTAATCCGAATTTCCTCTATTCCTTCGTTTATGGTAAATACATGTAGATATTTCATTAAAATATTTACGATCACTCAATCAACTGAAAAATAAGTGTTTTGTGACACATAAAATATATTTCTAGTGTATTTAATGATTAAACATGAAAACAAAATGAATTTAATTTCATTCTAAATGAGCTGCTGCTAGTGCAATGCAAGAAAAAGGGAAGGTAATTTATTCAAATTCATTTTAATTTTCTTTCATGATAATTGAAACATGATTTTAAAATTTAATAGTGAGAATTATACATTAATTTTGAAAAGAATTAACTCAGTACCCTGACTTTTTCAACAGTTAATTTCATTTTATTTAAATTTTTGCCCCTATATTTGGGCTAGTAACTTTTTACTTGGGGCTAGTAACTTTATAGCTGCCACTAGCCCGTGGGCTAGTAATAAATTTTTCTAATTGCACACCCCTGATTAATTTATCCCAGCAATAATCAGTTAAACAAAAACAAAAAATACCACATTTAACATGTCTAAAATAAATGTGTTCAAAGTTTTTATTCATTGGTGCTCTGAACAGTGTACTAGAAGCATCATTTTGATGATAAAAATGAAATGACCAATGCTTTTAGGACATTTTTGACCAAAATGTTGAGCAACTCTTCCAGAACAAAACCATTTGTGATTTAAAAATCGATGAAACGTAGCCATTTAAGGCTTGTTAAGATTTTTGGGGTGTGCAGAAGGCTGCCTTAAACTATACCTATACAAAATATGTCCACATGCATAATGGATGATTTTTTTTTTGCTAATCGGCTTGCAGTTTCTACAAGGGACTGGTTCCATTATGGGCACGACAGATTCCATACACAATGATGAAGTTTGCTTGCTTTGAAAGAACGCTAGAAGCCCTGTATAAATACGTCGTACCAAAAGCACGATCAGATTGCTCCAAGGGCGAGCAACTCTTAGTGACATTCTCAGCTGGTTACATTGGTAAGTTTGTATATATATGGTAGAATTAGAGTTGTCCAATCGCAAGGCTGATAGAAAATTGTTTTATGATCCATAACTTACTAGAAAATGTCAGCCCGATTGATGGTAAAAGGGAAAAAAGTCAGATCTGCAGCTTTATGAAGTTTGGGATACACTGGTTAAATGTCTGACAGGTTTAAAGATTTTGACAACTTTTTATCCATAATCAAGCAGTTGTTGTGTCATTTATCTGCAGAATATGTATGCTGTAGCCTGTTGAGTTAAGATTTATATGGACAAGTCAAATTTCTACTAATGATGGATTTATCAGAGTTGCTCAAAATTCTTTCTTCATATATATGTTTCAATACCTTTAACAACTCTTAAGAAACTCTGCTCCACCATTGATTTGAATTTGTACTTTTTTCAGCTGGTGTATTCTGTTCCATTAATTCTTACCCTAACTTTTACAGCTGGTGTATTTTGTGCCATTGTGTCTCACCCTGCTGACACAATCGTTTCTAAACTGAACAATGACAAAGGAAGCACCTTTGTACAGGCAGCAAAACAACTGGGACTTAGAGGTGAGATATTTTTATGCGCCCGGATCGATAGATCCAGGGCATATATTGTTTTTATCCTGTCTGTCTGTCTGTTTGTTTGTTTGTTTGTTTGTTTGTTTGTCCCGAATTTTAACCTTCACCATAACTTTTGAACTGTGAAAGATAGAGACTTCATATTTGGTATGCATACTCCACTAATTAAGCTCTTTCAAATGATACCAAGGTCAATGACCTTGTGGCCTTGACAGTGGCCTATATGCTAAAAAATAGCTTTTTTCTGCAAACTTTAACCTTCGCCATAACTTTTGAACCATGAAAGATAGAGACTTCATTTTTGGTATGCAATCTCCAATAATCAGGTTCTTCCAAATGACACATAGGTCAATGACCTTGTGACCTTGACTGTGACCTTAATGCTAAAAATAGCTTTTTCCTAACTTTGTTGCTGCCGGGCGCATAGTGTTTCACAAACACGTTTTATTCTGTTTTTTGTGAACGACTTTTTTTATTATCTTCTATGATTTATGATTATTTTTCAGAATAAAAAAAATTATTATAACAAACTCAATTATATGGTACTATCCATCCTTTAAAAAAAAAAGAAAAAATAGTGTAAAATTTAAAAATATTAAGGTTACTGTAAAATAAATGAACAATTCAACAAAATTTGTCATGTCTCACGGAGAAATGCTGCTGAATTGAATAATTATGAAAAAAATAATTGAATTTTATTTTGTTTAACAGGAATGTGGAAGGGACTGGGACCTAGGATTATAATGATCGGAACCTTGACGGCCCTGCAGTGGTTCATCTACGACTCAGTCAAGGTCTACTTCCGTCTGCCCCGCCCACCACCCCCCGAGATGCCCGAGTCTCTGAAGCGCAAGCTCAACGTTCAATAATGACAACCAATTCCTAGGATTTAATTCAATTTAAAAACATTCATTTAAAACAAAAAGCCAGTTTAGCTAAATATATTTTTATCTAGTTTTGAAAAAAGGACAATAATTATTAATGGTACCAAGTATTTACATTGAATGTGAACATTTTCTAGCATTGGCATATAAACATTTGATTTAAATGGGGAATATCATCAACATTTTGCTTGTAGTGGGTTTGCTACATTAAAGAACCTTATTTAAAAGACTTTTTAAAAAGATATTATGGGGAAGTGGTAGAAATTGTGATATTGTGTGGAGTTTATTACTGTCTTCCCCAATGCAGTTTTGTTTATACACAGTATTTTGCCTTAACTTATTTTGTAATAACATAACATGGCAGATCTGTTTTGTAAGAATTTCTCACCACATAACTTTGTTGATGTTTGACAGAGAAAAATAATAAACATCAGAGTGAAATAAAATGGCTTTTGTGTCCTTCATTCTTTGAAAATTTTAGAAGTTTTTGAAATACACACTGCACTAGGATGCACAATTCTGTAAATGCAAAAAATATTTTGGGTATATGCAAAAAAAATATTTTAGGTACATGCAAAAATATTTTAGAAGAAAACGGTTACATATCTAGGTAAAATTTTCTCTTCCACAGTTTCTGTAGATTCATTTGTCTTGCATTTGAGAAACTCCATTATATCTTTTAAGCCAAGAGCTCTTTTTTTCTAGCGGTGTGACGGAAAAGGGCAAGGTGATCCGATTGGAGCTGTCCTATTTTAAAAGGAAGAGCTGAGTGTTTCACAAACACGTGCAAGTACTACAAGTTTGAGCTGTATATAAAATGAATTGATTAACTTCATGAATAGGATATACATTATTATTTGTTTAAAGAAAACAAAACTTCATTGACTTTTTATTTATCGATATTTTTGTCCGTTTGTGTGTTATTTATCTACTAGGTACATGTATTTATTTTCCATCCTTTTGGCATTTTCCAATATTATCAATGACTACAGAGTTATCGCCCGTTGCATATAAAAGGATAATAGTAATATTGAGCATTTTGCTTATTTGTTTTCTCGACATATAGTGACTTAATGAAGAGACCAACTGGAACTAAATTCTTACAAGTTAAAACTCACAGTTGCTTACTCCAATCTCTGAAAATAATATATAACTTCATGAATTATTTTTATTATGAGAGATAAACACATTTCAAAATTTAATGTTCTCTCATTAGAAGAGTTTGTTACATACGAATTCTAGCAGAGAGAAAATGCAGAAAGCTCACAAGCTCATCTAAAACTCATTGAAAAGAATTTTAAAGATTGCAAAACAAAAAAAAAATATTTTTGAAATTTTTTTATTATAATTTTATGATTTGGCAAAGAAAAATTCATACATTTTAGTTTTAAAATTTGATCATTTTTGTATATCTTTATATGTAGCTCTTCTTTTAAAGGAGATCAAAATAGTCTGAAAATGGCTGCCACCCCCAGCCTCTTTAAGCATATTTTAAATGAATTAAGGTGTTCAAACGTCTGTTTCTTCTAAATCCAGGGAGATAACTCTTTCGCCCAGTCCTAGCGGGAAAGTAGAGCGAAGGTTAACTGCAAAGAAAATGCAAAGAAGAAGGGTTAAACTCAACTTATTTTAGCGAACTTGACACATTTCAACACAAGCAAAAGTATTGCAAAAAGTTACGCGAAACTTCTTTTAAGATTCATAAACCCTCTGCTCACTCATATAAAATTTTGCATGAAGCTTCATGATTTTCCAAAAGAAATGTTTTTTATGAGTGAAATACAAACAATTATAGCATAACCTGCGGGAAAAAATTGGACAAAAAAGACTCTCCAGCTTGGCATAATAGACACTTATGTCATTAATTTAAGAGTTATCTCTCTTATCAGAGTATCAATGAACTTTAATAAGGTGCACGTACACGAGGACCAGAATTTGGTCCAATATTTTACATTTTTATGCAAACCGTGTTTGTAAAGTATTACAGTTCTTTAGGCACATACAATGTAATTGTAGAACTTTGTAATTGCAAGATATAGATCTAGCAAATGTTATCCCAAATTTACCCTAGCAATCCCAATCGCCGAATGTTATTTTTCTTATAACAAAAAAGAAATCTCCTAATTCCGACATCATATAGGTAGGAGTGCATTTTTTCCTAGATAAAAAAAAATAACGTCAGATGCGCGTGCCACCAATGCAATATTTGAGCTGAAAGCAGAGTAAGCAGATACACTTTTTAGTTTTTTTTCCTTTCTTGGAAATTAAAGCCATTTCTAAGAGCAGAACTGCACTTTTTGATTATTACTGCTATAAAATTATCAAAATACCACATACTTATTCATGGTTATATACATACGACAGCGCTAATATGAGAGATTGAAAAAGGCAATGTACCAAATTTGTTGGGTTTTTTTCCTTAATTCGTAATAAATACATACACAGTGCATAACGCTTAATAAATATATTTTTATATGAGAAATATTTAAACCCATGCTTGGCTTATACAGCAGAAGTCGCAAATCCCCACTTACCCTCTAACAAGCCATGACACTTTACACTTGAATTCTATTCTGTAACACATATATTGTATTCTGAATAGAAACAATTGTGAATTGACACCATGAATGCTCATCTGACGTCTTTTCTTAATTGGATGATTTCTTACCTCGAGTTCGATCAAAAACTGTGGAAGAGACGAGTTTTTCACCCATGTAAATCTTAAGGATGTGTCGCCCAAGGGAGATAATGTTTACTTTGACGTCAACCATCGCATACTCGTCTTCTCTGGGGGTCACTTCTCCATCAAAAACGTTTCCTGAAGTAGCAAATGCTTTACATTTACTGGGTATTTGGATTATAGCTACAGAAAATGTGAAGCGGTCATTTTTGATTGTCTGTCTGCTTCTATATTTTGATGCCTGTTTGCCTATTTTAATTCATAGTTTATAGTTTTGGGGTTTTTTTCTTTTGCTTGCCAATTCTTTTTTTCAGACGTGTTTCCTTCCAAAAAATTGTTTCTCTTCCCTGAAATTGCTTCTTATAGACCTATTATGTTACTGGAAGTAGATGGAAATATTTTACAAATACCTTCGGAATCCTCTACTGTTGCCTTCATTATAACGGCATCAATTTTGATCGGGAGTCCTCTGTAATCTTGAGGCATCATAGTGAAAACCACCGAGTCGTTCTCCATGAAAGTTTCGTCAACAATCGTAATACATTTCTCCGGAAACACCGAAGAGGTCCAAATACAGGCATTTTTTGCAATGACCTGTTCCACATTTATAGCCAAATCGTCTTCATAGAAACCAAAAGTAGACAGTTCGCGTGGGTGTTGGTCTATAACCTCATCTGAAAGTTTTTGAAGTCTGTTTCTTATTGTTTTCTCCAACTGAAATTAAAATTATTCTTTTTAAATATTCTTCATAACCACGATTGTTTTAAAATACAAGTAACAATTTAAACCTTACATTGAATAATTGGAATAAATGATTATGCGTAAAACTGAAAGGGAAGAAATTTTGTACGAACCTGCATGACAGCGACCGAGTTTGGAGAAATTAAAACAAGGTCCGTTACTTCTTCTGCTTCTTCTATCTGTTTCTTTAACGTACCTAGTTCCAGCTTCTGTTTTTCCAATACCTCTAGCTTTGTACTCACTGCTGTCCTTAATTCAGTTTTTAATTCTTCTTTCATCATTTCAATCATTTTTATCAAACTGTCGAATTTCGAATCAATGTTTTCAACAACTTGATCAGCGTTATCTTCTATATTCTTTTTCTCGGAATCAATTCGTTCGATCGTTGCTACGACGTCATGTCCAATGCTTTCCACATGGTCCATCAGAGCTGCAATATCTTGCCGCTTTTCTTTGACAATATTTTCAACCTTTACGGTTTTGTGCACATCTAGCTCCTCGCACATTTCCAAAGCACACGTTGCACACATCGGTTCTTGGCAAGATTCTGTTGTGCAGTAAAATTTCAAATAATTTTCCGAATGACGTTTACACGTAACATTTCTTTTGAACCCATCTAGATTTTTGGCAAGTTTCATGTCTTCTGTTGATAGTAAAATGTGCTTCTTTGTAGCAGTAACTCTTTTGTGTGCCTCTTCGCATTCAGAGCACAGCCATTCCGCACAATTTGTGCATCTGTGCGTTGCAACCTTATTTGGGCATATGCTACAATACAAATCATGGTTTTCGTCTTTGAGTTTATAATATTCCATCAAATCAAACCTCGTGTCATCTCTTGGACAATCTTTGTCCATGTCCATTACGTCATGTGTTACGTCACAAACTGTACATCTTACTTTATTGCCTATTTTTGTATTTTTTAAACAACGAAAACAAAATGTATGGAGACAAGGTAGAAATCGAGGTTGTTTATTTTCCAGATCGAAGGACTCGGAACATTTTTGACATCGGAGGTACTGCTGAGATTTTTCTGACGTCTGTATATTGTCAAGGACTTTGAAGGACGGATGATGATGAGGTATATCTAAAAATGTAACACATTTCAAGAACTAATTTAAATCTAAAATTAAAAATTAAAGTTATCTCTTTTTTATAATTCTTAACAGTTTAAGAACTAATGATTTCAAATTCTTTATCCAAAAGGAACAGATTCGGGACAGTACTTAAATACTTATCGGCTGTTACAATGTACATGTAGGAACCAGAATGGTAATAAACTATTAAGATCCAGGTAGAATAGTAATAGACTGTTAAGAACCATGCAGAATCTTAAATAGATTTTTTGGGTGTTTATGTGAGTGAAGGTGAAAGGGAGGGTATGTGTGAGGGGGTCGTTAGAAGAGAAGAATATTAACAAATTCATACGAACCTTTACTAGGAATGGTGCTCTTTCGTTTAGGCTTCCAGTTGGGAGAAATAATGTGGGTAAAAACAGCGTGTTCATCCTCCCAGTGTCTTTGACGTCTGTCTACGTTCGTTTCCAAAACGCATTGAAATGGTAAATCAAAATCTATTTCTTTTAGGCTTGACGTCTTAGGAACAAAGATTTTCCCAGTAGTTTCGTATGCAATGAGACGATAATCTTAAATGTAAAAGATAATCCATTGACGTGATTTGTAGGGGGAAATGCATATGGATATAACTTATATAGACTTTTCGATAAAACAAGATACATTTTTTTTTAATAATTTAATTTTAAAATAAAACAAATTGATCATCAATCAAAATCTGATAAATATCAACTGAAAAATAAACTTTATACACTGTATGTAGGTTTCTCATAAGAAAGCTCTGTATACTAATGATAATAATTTGATAACCTTTGTTCTTTTGCAAGTCAAGAGAATTTAATCCAATTGTAACTGAAACCAGTGAGTGTGTACTGAAGAATCGTTGACTATCTTTTGATTCAGATGGTGAAAAACTGTTAAGATTCTATGTTTCTTTGATTTTACTGGATTTTGCCTCAGTAAGTTGTGCTCACCGTTTTCTGGTTGTATATGGCGATGTCTGCAGTCCTCCAGAGTTCTGAAGGAGATTTGTAACAACTCTAAGAACTTTTCACACTGTTCGTCCTCCCTACAGAAATGGACGGTGACGAAGCGCTCCTTAGAGCCGTACCGCCTGGAGAACTCGTACCAGTACTGGTCCTTCCTCGTGTAATGGAGGTTGTCCTCGACTATGTTGTTCAGGTTCAAATCCATCCTGATCTGTAGAGCAAACACACAGAGATGTTCAAGTTTGTTATGATCTGTAGAGCAAATATATACAGAGATGTTCTCAAGTTTGTTCTGATCTGTAGAGCAAATATATACAGAGATGTTCTCAAGTTTGTTCTGACCTGTAGAGCAAATATAGAATGATCAGAGATGTTCAAGTTTGTTCTGACCTGTAGAGCAAATATACAGAGATGTTCAAGTTTGTTCTGATCTGTATAGCGCAAACACAATGAGATCAGATGTTCAAGTTTGTTCTGATCTGTAGATCGAAAATTCAATGAGATGTTCAAGATTGTTGTGGTCTATATAGCAAAAATACAGTGAGATGAGATGTTCAAGATTGTTCTGATTTGTAAAGCAAAAAGTGCAATTCTCAGAGATATTCAAATTGTTCTTATCTTCTGCAAAATTACATTGTTCGGAGATGTTCAAATGTGTTCTATTCTGTATAGCAAAAGTACAATACTCAGAGATGTTCAAGATTGTTCTGATCTGTACTTTCAAAAATACATGGAGAGGTTCAGATACATCGATTTTTATCGGTATTGCAAATACAATGAAATGTTCAATTCATACTAACCTCCTGTAAAAATATAACGAGATTTTCAAGTCCATTTTATCCTTACTGAGCATCATGTAAAATAGGTTTAAATTTATTGTGCATTTATATATGTGGAAAAGCTTTTCGGGGCCCTTGAAATAAAAATATATTTGTATCTTGTACATGTACCTATTTTAAATTGCAGGAACACACTGTGAACCCTTGATCAAGTCTATCCGTATGTATTGCAAAAAATATACATTATGGCAGTCTAACTTCGATATGCAATTCTTATCTACTGGTATCATCGGGAAAAAAATATACTCAGTAATTCTCAAGCCCTATACTCAAGCCCCTATAGTCAATCATGATCTATTAACTGAAATTAACTTTTTATTATACATATGTACATGCACCGTAAATGTAATAGAATACTAGTAAATTACAACAGACGAAATTAACATCTTATCAAATTAAAATCACCTGACTATGTATAAAAGTGGTGTAAACAATTATGACAATATCTATTATCTAAATTACAGAATTTCAATATCTGCATTGATGATAAACAAATTGACGTGAAATGTTTATCATCAGCAACAAAGTGTAAATGTATATACATGTATAAGAACGTATTTATTATTGACAAAATCGGACGTCAACATATTTTTTCGGGTTGAAGAAACTTGATAAAATTTACAGTGCATACTGAAAAGTGTGAAGAAATTGGACACAATTTCACAAATTATTCAAATTCTAGCATATATATCGCATTACGTGTTCTTCATTTCAATAAAGCAGGAAAAAGAATAATTTGTGCACTGAATGTGAAATTTTATACCTGTGTCTTTTATGTATGACACAACAAATAAATATGCAATTTAGAAATATGCACAAATATATAGCATATATGCGAATATTATATTAGATACACGTCGAAATTGGCGTCATTCATTATACATATGAGAAATAATGGACTTGACCTTTTGTTGTCCTGGTAAGTCTAAAATTGACCCTGCTGTTGTGTCCGAACTTCTGGTAGTTTGAATCAGGTAAATGTCACAGTGTCCAAACGAATGCAACTCACATTTGAGTACAGAAACACTCGATTCTGGGAGCGAGGCAGGGATGTAGATTTCACAAGTTGTGGAACAGACGACATTTTCATCTTTGTACACGCCTCCAAATCGGTTCATATCTGACTTGGTAAAGAAAACTACAAAACTATCTACATTACATATATATATGAATTACACATGCATTACATTTTAAAATGATTATCATAGTATATTTTAATATTATTGTCAATGAGTCACAGTACGCTAAAAAGCGCGTGTCAATTGCTCAAAACTGAAACAGTTTATTCTTACCTTAAATATGTTTATGAAACCTTTATGCAGCTAGCTCTGTCCCATGATTTACAGAATCACGCGTGAATGATTTAGCGCTTAGTTGACAAAAACAACGCTGGTGTATTGTTAAAAAATGAACTTTCTCAGATATATTCAGTTCTGATATTCATGACAATGGTTTAGTGATCTAATTTCTTCTCAATTTACTACAGCAAATCAATTTTTGTTGCATGTGTTTTTTAATGCATTTTCCTTATGCTTATTAATCATTATATATTTATACGTGCTGTAATTTTTTAAAATTGTTTTTCCTTATGCTTATTAATTACTGGTATTATTAATTATATGCGACTGAAAAATATGCACATGTGCTTTTTTAAAATGTCGCATGTCAGGTTATGCAATTGAATGTAATGTAACAAGATTCCAGAATAAACGAGGCGGATCAAAGTTTTCATGCTAAGAATTGGAATGTCAATTTTGTTCTCATTAATGTGTATCTATTCCACCCAAATGCTTCTTATAATTGAGCAAATTCAGTTCTTGAATAAAAAAATTACAACTGGACCCGTCCTTCCCCCTTTCATATGAAAATGAGACAACCAAAATTTTTCAGTTTTTCGTTAATTTTAAAGTTTATGTTGAAGCATGATTAGCCTAATTTTTGTTATTTTCGACACATTTTAAAACAAGAGGCCCATGGGCCACATCGCTCACCTGAGAAGCTTTGACCATTCTGTTCTTTACCAGATTTCCCCCTTGTTATACATAATGCATCTCCACCCTACCCCACTGATCTTAATTTAGACATTTTGAATTCTACACTACCCCATGATCCTTCCATGGGCACATATGTTTCAGCTTTTTTGGCCCAGTGGTTCTGGAGAAGAAGATTTTCAAAGATTTTTCCTATATATTTCTATGTAAAACTTTGATTCCCCTATAATGGCCCCGCCCTTCCCCCGGGGGTCATGATTCCTACAATTTAGAATTTACACTACCCTAGAATGCTTCCACATAAGCTTCACTTTTTCTGGCCCAGTGGTTATTGAGAAGAAGATTTTCAAAGATTTTTCCTATATACTTCTATGTAAAAATTTGATACCCCATTGTGGCCCCGCCCTTCCCCCGGGGGTCATGATTCCTACAATTTAGAATTTACACTACCCAAGAATGCTTCCACATAAGCTTCACTTTTTCTGGCCCAGTGGTTCTTGAGAAGAAGATTTTCAAAGATTTTTCCTATATACTTCTATATAAAACTTGGATTCCCCATTGTGGCCCCGCCCTTCCCCCGGGGGTCATTATTTGAACAATTTAGAATCTACATGATACCAGGATGCTTCCACATAAGTTTCAGCATTTCTGGCCCAGTGGTTCTTGAGAAGAAGATTTTCAAAGATTTTTCCTATATATTTCTATGTAAAACTTTGATACCCCATTGTGGCCCCGCCCTTCCCCCGGGGGTCATGATTCCTACAATTTAGAATTTACACTACCCCAAAATGCTTCCACATAAGCTTCACTTTTTCTGGCCCAGTGGTTCTTGATTTTCAAAGATTTTTCCTATATATTTCTATATAAAACTTGATTCCCCATTGTGGCCCCGCCCTTCCCCCGGGGGTCATTATTTGAACAATTTAGAATCTACATTATACCAGGATGCTTCCACATAAGTTTCAGCTTTTCTGGCTAGTGGTTCTTGAGAAGAAGATTTCAAAGATTTTTCCTATATATTTCTATGTAAAAATTTGATACCCCATTGTGGCCCCGCCCTTCCCCCGGGGGTCATGATTCCTACAATTTAGAATTTACACTACACCAGAATGCTTCCACATAAGCTTCACTTTTTCTGGCCCAGTGGTTCTTGAGAAGAAGATTTTCAAAGATTTTTCCTATATACTTCTATATAAAACTTGGATTCCCCATTGTGGCCCCGCCCTTCCCCCGGGGGTCATTATTTGAACAATTTAGAATCTACATGATACCAGGATGCTTCCACATAAGTTTCAGCATTTCTGGCCCAGTGGTTCTTGAGAAGAAGATTTTCAAAGATTTTTCCTATATATTTCTATGTAAAACTTTGATACCCCATTGTGGCCCCGCCCTTCCCCCGGGGGTCATGATTCCTACAATTTAGAATTTACACTACCCCAAAATGCTTCCACATAAGCTTCACTTTTTCTGGCCCAGTGGTTTTTGAGAAGAAGATTTTCAAAGATTTTTCCTATATATTTCTATATAAAACTTGGATTCCCCATTGTGGCCCCGCCCTTCCCCCGGGGGTCATTATTTGAACAATTTAGAATCTACATTATACCAGGATGCTTCCACATAAGTTTCAGCTTTTCTGGCTAGTGGTTCTTGAGAAGAAGATTTCAAAGATTTTTCCTATATATTTCTATGTAAAAATTTGATACCCCATTGTGGCCCCGCCCTTCCCCCGGGGGTCATGATTCCTACAATTTAGAATTTACACTACACCAGAATGCTTCCACATAAGCTTCACTTTTTCTGGCCCAGTGGTTCTTGAGAAAAAGATTTTCAAAGATTTTTCCTATATATTTCTATATAAAACTTGGATTCCCCATTGTGGCCCCGCCCTTCTCCCGGGGGTCATGATGTGAACAATTTAGAATCTTCACTATACCAGGATGCTTCCACATAAGTTTCAGCTTTTCTGGCCGAGTGGTTCTTGAGAAGAAGATTTTCAAAGATTTTTCCTATATATTTCTATATAAAACTTTGATTCCCCATTGTGGCCCCGCCCTTCCCCCGGGGGTCATGATTTGAACAATTTAGAATCTACACTATCCCAGGATGCTTCCACATAAGTTTCAGCTTTACTGGCCCAGTGGTTCTTGAGAAGAAGATTTTTTAATGACCCAACCCTATTTTTCTCTTTTCTTGATTATCTCCCCTTGCGAGGGGATATGTCCCTTCATTTTAACAATTTAAATTCTCCTTCACCCAAGGATGCTTTGTACCAAGTTTGGTCAAAATTGGCCCAGTGGTTCTTGAGAAGAAGTCGAAAATGTGAAAAGTTTACAGACGGACGGACGGACGACGGACAAAATGTGATCAGAAAAGCTCACTTGAGCCTTCGGCTCAGGTGAGCTAAAAAGAAATTGTGCTTTTATACAATTGATTCAAATGGGGGGAAAATGAAAATCGCTATTTAAAGAAGGTTTATTGTTTTTGAAAACACCGTTATGCTATATATTGTAAATAAAAATATGTACATACTACATACACTGAATACTAATGTCAAGTTCTGAATTTTGAATTTACTGGGTGGGAGTAAGTACAAAATTCAGAACATGACACTTTCCCCTTTATTTGTCTCGATATCAGTCAGTAAACTGCAATAAGAATATCACCTGTACAGATTTCTTTAAGCAGTGGCTGTTCCATCAATGAAACAGAGAAAATCGAAATATTCTTCTTGAAAAGGGTCCATGGACTTGCATTAATTGCCATCAAAATGGTATCCTTTGCTTCAGGGACCTGTGGTTGAACACATAATTATTATCCCGGGGCCTCTCAACGAAATTGGTGAGGATATAGAAACGCGCTCGTGTGTAAGGGTGTGAGAGGGAGGGTGTGTGTGTGAGAGGGTGAGGGTGTGTGTGTAAGAGGGTGAGGATGTGTGTGTGTGTGTGTTAGCTTGTCCTTGTGTGAAACGTGACATAAGCATTGTGATCGATGTCAAATTCCTGCCTTGATTGAAGAATATAATAATGTGCTTTTTGCGAAGGGATGCTCTGCTCTACGGTGCTGTGTTTAATTTTTAAGTTTTACCGGGTGTGTTCGATTTGCTAAAGCACAGCACAAAATAGGAACCACTGGTTTGTGGGTTCTGCTTCTTTCTAATTTCTTTCAAAATTTCTTGATTATGGTCTTAATATCTTTTAATAAATATAAATATTAAATTAATACGGCATAGGTTTCTCGCTTTTCTTTGATATAAAATATACTAGCATATTTTTAGTTCGTGGAAGTACGAATAATAACTAATGTCAATAAAACACTCTCGAATTTTTTTTTTATTTTTAAAATTTTATAAGCTTCAGAAATGCTTCCGCAAAAAAGACATACATGGAATTCGACCGGATCTTAAAGATAACAGTATGATAATACAATGCCCATGATGCTGAAAAGCAATTTTATGTTTGACTGCTTGTCTTATAAATCATTTTATCGCAATCAAAATATTCTGACTCTTAAACTTATGAGGTTTCATATGATTCTGGGGCCCGAATTAATTACCAGAAAGCATCATAAAATGACACGTTGTGTTATGTACATGTAGCAATGCATGCGAAGATTGACACGAAAAGTACTCACGTCACGACCACGTTCCGTATCGCGCTCACTTGGCACGGGGGAGTCTGAACACTATTGGGATGGAATTTTGACCTTGAACCCCTCCTTGTTATTCATAAATTGACCGTATTCAGCGCTAGGCCAAGTTATGACTTTCTTTAACCATGCTTATTCATCCTGCACTTGGTATATGAGTGTTTTTCTGAAATTGGGATATTTTTTTATCAGCTTCTTCTTGAAATGTGAATTTTGTGTTGCTGTTACAGTGAGTATTTTCTACTGAACCAAAATAATTATAGGGATTTGCAATTGTAATTTGAATTTTCTTCAAAGTTAAATTCTCTTTTCTAAAATGTTTTAGTATATCTTAAAACACGAGAAAAAAAAAAACAACTAGAAACAAACTTTGCCTTTGGAGGGTTGATATAATGTTTTTGGAAGCAATTTTTCCGATGGTTTTGTTTGCTGTAAAAATGCAATTTTTGAAATGAGATCCGAATTTAATCTAAAATTCTTGCAATATTATTACATTAAAATGATAGGTCTTTAAAGTCTACATTTTGGAGCTTTTACAGAATATACATGGTAATAAGAGGCCCATGGGCCACATCGCTCACCTGAGAAACTTTGGCCATGCTGTTCTTTAACAGATTTCCCCCTTTGTAATACCAATTGTGACCACGCCTTACACCCAGGGGTCATGATTTGGACACTTTAGAATCTACACTACCCAAGATGCTTTCGCATAAGTTTCAGCTTTTCTGGCCCAGTGGTTCTTGAGAAAAAGATTTTTAAAAGTTTTTTCCTATATATTTCTATGTAAAACTTGGATTCCCTATTGTGGCCCCGCCCTACACCCGGGGGTCATGATTTGAACAATTTAGAATCTACATTACCCCAGGATGCTTCCACATAAGTTTCAGCTTTCTGCCCCAGTGGTTCTTGAGAAGAAGGTTTCTAAAGTTTTTTCCTATACATTTCTACATGTATGTAAAACTTGGATTCCCTATTGTGGCCCCGCCCTACCCTCGGGGGTCATGATTTGAATAATTTAGAATTTATACTACTCCAGGATGCTTTCACATAAGTTTCAGCTTTTCTGGCCCTGTGGTTCTTGAGAAGAAGATTTTTAATGACCCCACCCTATTTTTGTATTTTCTCGATTATCTCCCCTTGGAAGAAGACTTTGCCCTTGAGTTTAATAACTTGAATTCCCCTTCACCCAAGAATGATTTGTACCAAGTTTGGTTAAATTGGCCCAGTGGTTCTTGAGAAGAAGTTGAAAATGTGAAAAGTTTACAGACGGATGGACGACGGACAACGGGTGATCAGAAAGGCTCACTTGATTTCTCTCTCTCTCTCTCTCTCTCTCTCTCTCTCTCTCTCTCTCTCTCTCTCTCTCATCAACATTAATTTTTTTTATTTTTTTACTGTTGATACAAATTTCACTGATGTTCGAAATATATTCCAGATTTGAAATCATTTAATGAGGCTGGGGTGTGGCAGCCATTTTCAGACTATTTTTATCTCCTTTAAAAGAAGAGCTCCATATAAAGATATAAAAAATGATCAAATTTTAAAACTAAAATATATGAATTTTTTCTTTGTCAAATGATAGTTGACAGCTTAAGATACCATATGTAAAAAAATAAGTTAAATCTGGTGGTTAATTTATGATTAATTTGTTGACCCCCCAGCCTCCTTAACAAAAATTCTGACTTGACATAAACGATGAAAACTTATTCAAACAGTGTGAGCATGCGCCCCAACCTTATATACACGTACTAAGCACTAGCGTGTATATACTAGTATTACTACATATACAAGTTGATGTTATTAGTTAATCCGCTACAAAACAACATTCACCTTGACTCCGATTAGGGTCTCCATTCACGGGATTTTGTCATGACTGAGAACCAGTGACGTGGTATGTGCTCAATTAAGAACGACACTCCGCCATAAAAATGTTAAAGACCTTCCGGTCATCCAGGAGCCTTTGTCCATATACGCAAATGTTGCTCGCTCGATATGAACATATGTCATATATATATATGGTCGTGTATTATGACGCTGAATATTGACAAAAGATAATGTTTATTATATACTGGGGCGGATATAAATGTATCTGTACATGTATGAAGTTCACAGTTTACATTTGTTTCTCATACTGTACCTTACAGTACCTTCTCATTCTGTATCTTACAGAAAAAAATGGGCAGATAATATCAATAAAATATACTTCACTTCTATTCTGCACAAGAGATCGACGCTGTACTCTATATACACGTTTGTTTGTTACTTTTTAGCTCACCTGAGCCGAAAGCTCAGGTGAGCTTTTCGGATCAAAATTTTTCCGTTGTCTGTCTTTGTCGTTGTTTTTGTCATCGTCGTCGTAAACTTTTCACATTTTCATCTTCTTCTCAAGAACCACTGGGCCAATTAATTTCAAACAAACTTGCCACAAAGTATCTTTGGGTAAAGGGATTCAAGTTTGTTCAAGTGAAGGGCCACGCCCTCTTCCAAGGGGATATAATTATGAATAAGTGAAAAATAAGTGGCATCTTTTAAAAATATTTCTCTCAAGAACCACTGGGCCAGGAAAGGTGAAACTTATGTGGAAACTACCTCTGATAATGTAGATTCAAGTTTGTTCAAATCATGACCCCCAGGGGTAGAGTGGGGCCACATTGTGGGATCAAAGTTGAACATGGGAATACATAGGAAACTTTCTTTAAAAATTTTCTTCTAAAGAACCACTGGGCCAGGAAAGATGAAACTCACGTGGAAGCATCCTCAGGTAGTGTAAATACAAATTTGTTCAAATCAAAACCCCAGGGTAGGGTGGGGCCACAATGGGGGTATCAAAGTTAAACATAGGAAAATCTTTAAAAATCTTCTCGAGAACCACTGGGTCAGTAAAGATGAAACTCATGTGGAAGCATCCTCAGGTAGTGTAGATTCAGATTTGTTCAAATCATGACTCCCTAGGGTAGGGTGGGGCCTAAGTTGGGTATCAAAGTTTAACATAGGAAACATAGGAAAAATATTTAAAATCTTCTCAAGAACAGCGAAGCCATGATTGGTCATAGTAATATGGAAGCATCCACTTGTAGTGAAGATTCATGTTTGTTTAAATCATGACCCCACAATGTGGGATCAAAGTTATACATAGAAATACATAGACAAACAAGCTAATTCAGAGAATTCGTGTCCCCCGCTTAGGGAAAAAGTCGGCTCCCCCTGACTGAATTTGTAGAATTATTAAATGTATACATGTATACTGAAGGAAATAAAATACATGTATGTCAATATGCATATAAAGATTTGATTGCTTATTCTTTATTATGTGTATAGAAGATTTTTTCATATGGAATATTTATCACACTGTAATGATGATTTTATAACCTCATACATTTTTCATTTCACATGCTGAATACTATCATTTAGTAAAAAAAAAAGTATTTAAAAAAAAAAAAAAAAAAAAAAAAGAACGATTCAACCGAGACTCGATCCTGGGACCTCTCACACTTGAAGCGAGAGACATAACCACTAGACCACGGAGTCGCTTTACTCGGAGTGAAGTATATGCAGAACTGAAGTCACATACATGTATATATTCATGTTTTCATGTTCGGTATTCTCAAAATTTTACACAATCCATGGTGTTTGATTTATTTAGCCTTTATTAAACAGTTCTAATAGATGTAATAAGAACATAAAGTCCGCCGAGAACCTGTTTTATACGCAATAACTCTCCTCATGCTCCTGCGCTAAAAATAGCGACATGTAATACTATAAATACTAATAAAACAAACGGGGCGGGGCACTTTGAGAGGGCGAGAGACGTCCTAGGGAGTTTTGGTATAAAATTACATTGCATAAGCTCAAAATCTTCTTGAAATATCGCCCGGAAATGATAGTGTTACACACAGACAGAATGTATAAATTTACGACCTTGAACTTTGACCTTTTGACCTCAAAATCAATAGGGGTCTTCTTTAGGCCACAGGGAGTTGTTATGTAAAATTTCATTGCAATAGCTCAAATGGTTCTAGAGATATCGTGTGGAAACGAAAGTGTTTTAACAGACAGAATTTGCTTATTTATGACCTTGACCTTTGACCTTTTGACCTCAAAATCAATAGGGGTCTTCTTTAGTCCATAGAGAGTTGCTATGCTAAATTTCATTGCAAAAGCTCAAAGGGTTCTTGAGATATCGTGTGGAAACGAAAGCGTTACAGACAGACAGAAAGACGGACGGACGGACGGACGGACCCACGAAATGCAGGTTATGTGACTGACAAATTTATGTGACTTTTTCCAAAAAAATTATGTGGCGCAAAACGTGATACATGGGGTAAGGGAGGTAAATCTCAAAACCTTTTGACGGACGTCCATATACGGACAATATTGTCCGTATTTTTTTATGTGACACTTCTTTAGAATGATTTTTTAAGTCACATAACACTCATTTCTACTAAAAAAAATCAAATTTGTATGTGACAGTCACATAAAACAAAAGAGTCACATAAATCTTAAATGGGCACAAAAACTGTCACTTAACCATTATTTCGTGAGAACGGACGGACGGACAGACGGACGGACGGACGGACGGACAAACCCAAATTAATATCCCCCACTTTTCAAGCGGGGGACAATAATACTAGTAAGTTTGTTCAAATACCCCCTCCTTCCCTGAACCCACTTTTATATTTAAACTTTACAATACTGAAATGATTTTTGCTTTTACCTAGCTATAGTTGCTCAGGTGAGCGATGTGGCCCCTTTGCCTCTTGTTTTAATTTCAAGTGAATTTTTTCGAGAAACTCATGAAACCCCGCCATAAATGGAATAAAATATTGAACGGTGTTGAATAGGCCTATGCCAGATATTTTGCTGATCAGGCCGTGATACGACTAGTATTTTCTGAGAATGGTTAGTCCTTTCGTTAGATGCAGTTTCGTTACATTATAAGCTGCTTCCCCATCTTTGCTTGTTTTACGTTCGATCACTGGCAACTTCTGCCATTTTAAAAAAAATCCATTGAAAAGTAAGAGGAATAGAAAAAGTGCACCCACCCCCCTTACGAAATAGTGTACCTAGGACATAGTATTTTCAAATTTGGTTAGCCCCCCCCCCCCATTCTTTTGTCTTTGTCAAATTCTTTTGAGACCTCACCCCTTCTCCCACATTTTTGAAAAAAGAAGAGTTATTTACAGGCATTTCACTTGTACCATAGATGAAGAGAAATCTGTCCTAATGTCTTGTTCTCCATTTTAACCTTGAAACAAAGTGATAAGGATATCGAACGCGTGCGTGTCTATTCACGAAGAATACTAAATGAAGTAAATACACTGTAAATGCATGCATTATAGATATTGAACTCGTTCATTCATCTTCATGCTTCGGTTTGTATGTTCACCTGTAGAGTAAAAAATAGAACACATAATTTGAGGTTCGCAGGACGAGTACAGGACACAGGAAAAAGATAACACTGTTTAACAAATAGTATACTGCTTATTCGATTATTTGACTATAATATAAACTCGATCACTGCCCCCCCCCCCATTTTTTTTAAGATTTTGATTAAAAAAAAATTATTTTAAACTTTCATTTTTTGTTCTCGTTTCGTTATCTCCGATTTCACATGAATGATTCGTATTAAAATCCCGGAACTAAAATTGGATTAAAAAATTATGTCTAATTGGTCACGTCGGCATAAACTTGTTGTATAGAAACATAAAAAAACACGACCCCGCATAAACAATGTGAGTACTAAAATGAATATCATACAACATCAAAACATACATTCCATCCCCCTTTTTGCTCAGGTTCGCACGTTTGTTTGTTTGTCCCAGCTGTTTATGTGTAATATAATATAATGTTAGTAAACTATTGTTCTTTTGATTCTAATTTGTTTTCAACAGGATATATACACGTCTTGTGTTATTCTATAAACAATCCGATGTTTTATTTTTCCTACGTTTTGGTGACCTTGACGTGTGTTTTTGCTTTCGACCTCTAAGTTTTAGGGATGAATACAGCTTCATAAAAAAAGCTTTGAGTGGGATAGGAAAGGGTCTTCCTATATTAATTGACATCTAGATCTTGGACTGGATTTATCTTGAAATTTGTAACATATTTATTACAAGAAAAAAAAATTAAAAAATTAAATAAAAAAAGAGAAACAAACAAAAAAAAAATACAAAACAAACAAACAAAAACTTCAACATGTATATATTTCCACCATAAAGGCGTAATTAATTTTGGATGTTGATGAGGGGTGGGGGTGGGGGTGGGGGCATAAAGACTCGTGCAACCAGCCTTTATTATTCCAATTATGTTTTTTAAAGAAGGATAAGTGATATTCCCCTTGTATGTCAAGGAATTTTTGATTGGTAATGCCAACCAAAACTGAAAATGTCTGGTTGCCCACCACCACCACACCACCCCAGGTGAATTTGATTCTTATGAGCCTGTTGTCCTAACTTCAGTGGAAAGGCCATTTCCCGAGGAGGGTAATTTATTTGGTCTGTTTGTTTGGTTGTTTTCTATTGGTTTATTACTATCAGACCATACAGTGTTGTGCATGAACACATTTACCGTAAATGTAAATTTATATACGTAAATTTTACATAATATACAGAGTCAAGTTAGGAGTAGTATGTATATAAAATAAAAATATAAAATTAAAAAGTTTTTAACAAACAAAGACTGCAGCTTTATCAGTGAGTCTACATCTAATTTGATGGACATAGGATTATCATATTGATAAGTATTTACATGAAAAAAAACTTTATCAATAAATATGAGGGAAAAAAATGGACAACCATTACATAATGAAAGTCATCTAGAGTTATTTTTTAAAATAATTATTATATAAATTATATATTCATAAAGATCTGTTGATATAAGTTCCATCTAAGTGTACCGGCTTTAAATTAAAGTCTGATTAAAAATTCTAAATTTTCGCTAAAATAATTTTTAAATATTTTGGTAGTTTACTTATAGCTATAAGATACATTATTTTATGGATTTTCTATGATCCTACCAGAATGCTGCACTATCTCTAATTTGAAGGTAAATCATATGGCAAAATATTTTTTTAAATAAATATATGTAGTTTCTTTCCGTTTCAAATGGATATCTACATGTACAAGTTTTTATAATGTTTCTTATCAATAATTCTGAAATGTAAAATTTTTATGCTTTGGCAAACCAACCACCAAAAGCATCATAGGAATTGTCAACATGTACAGTTGTAGATCATTAAATGATTTTATATAATTTATAACTTTTCTATCTATTATAATGGTATCTTATACAGACATGCATTTATTTGATTAGAATATCATATGCATGTGGATTTTTTTTGTGTGTGTTAGTTTTAGTGTGTAATAATTTAAGGCCGTCGGAACAGGGGTGCATGGGGCCGAATGCGATCACACCTTCTGTAAAAGAAATGAATAATTATTGAAAATATAATGTTTGAACATATAGTTTATCATTTAAAGAATTATGTGCCGTTTTATTCTGTTTTATTTTATATTTGAAGTATCATGATAAATAAAATATCGAGCGACGGTCCTAAATGTTACTCGTATATCACATGTTTATCATGTATGTCAGTATAAATTTAAATCTATTTAAAACTGGGTCAACTGGTATATAATAAATACACATAGCAGCTCTGCGTTGGTCTTGCGTCATTCTACAAAAACCGAAACTATTTAGATCTATTCGTTGGTTTAAAGAAAATAAGGAGACATCTTAAATCCATGATTAAGATGCAAAAAGAAAGTACTCTGCTGAATGTTGAAAAGAAAAAGAAAATCTTTAGTATGATCCGCCACCAATGAAAACAAAAGGAAACATGTGGTACTTGGACAAGTGCCAAAACCTCTGCCAACACCAAATACATCCAGTTATTTTATGCCCTTTTTAAATTGATAAATTTAATTTAATGCGTTTTCCTGATGTATTCTTTAATCTTTCTAAACACCAAAGCCTTCAACCAAAAATGTTTTGTTGTTGTTTTTTCAATGTTCATTCATGAAATTTTACGCGCTCCGTCATACGAATAATTTATTTACATGCGCATGCGCATTGCCATGTAGGTCACTATTCCAGCTCAGTATAGTGATGAAAACCTCATTGGGAGTGTAAACATGTTTTTGATCATTTTGGGAATATCATAGGATATTGAGGGAAATTCTGCAGTTATGTAAGTTGCAAACATACATTAGTTATCAGAAACAGTTAAAAGTCCGCGTGGAAACGCGAGGTTTTTCGTATTTTTGTAAAACTATGTACTGTTGTCATGTGTAGTGGATTAAAGGAAAAATAACAACAGTCGTGACCGAGTATTGACCTCGATATGTTTTGTAATCTCATGTTTTACAGGAATTTTCATATGTAACCATAATTTTGTTATTGAAAATCGTTAGCTATGATAAGTAAGGAGTAGTTATGACCATTTTAACATATATTTGCAGAGATTAAAGTTATGTGTATGTGTATATGTATTAATTTTTAAGGTCGCCTAGGATAAACATATTTCGTCTAAATTTGTTTTGTAAAAAAGCTTTCTCTGTCATTAATAAATTAGTTCATGAAAACACCTCAGTAAAGAAGAGACATTGTAAATTTGAGAATAAGAATAGTCTACTTTACCACGCCATACTTTCCTTACGAGAAAAATGTAAACAAAACGGTGACCGACATTCCAGCCTGGAGCTAAACGCATGTAAACAAGCCGTGAGAGGTCTGTTTATTTGGATAGCTTGCGAAATGTCACCACTTGGCTGTGCAAAATATTGTTTTGAATGATTAAGAGTGTTTAACTGTTTAATGGACGTTTAATGGATACTGTGATCGCGGAAGACGCGTTGTGGCTTTTAGTAGGTCGATTTATTAAACCGCATTATTTATAACATTGTAAATATTGTGCATCAGAAGCTATGCATGACGCAGGTGATGTACAATATTATTGATATTTCAAAAATTCATGGGGATAAAGTTTTCAATGAATGTTTTTAAAAAGTATTTTCAACTATATAATAACGACTGAAGAAGGAATGCGCAGCAAGACGAGTTATCTCGGCACATTTCCAGAAAACGTTCCAAATCATATATAGGTCACATGTTTGGGCGGCAACGCAGGCATGTGACGCACTAGTCTGGTACGCGTCTGGATTTCAAGAAGAAAATAGATCAACGAATTAACAATAAATAAATAATAAAAAATGCTTTTTTTCCCATAAATGAAAAAAAAAAAATGAAGTGCGCAAAGGATTTGAAACGAATTACAATATCCGCATATGATCCGGGAGCCCCCCTCCTTTTCAAAACTTAATTCCTCTTTTGTAATCCAAACACTGACCCGTAATTCATATTATTTGAGGTAATTTATTTTTATATTATAGAAAATAAGAAAGTTCAGCATGTTTTTTTTTACGTGGATAACATGTTCAAAATTGTTCCAGCAGCTGAAAAAAAAAATTTTTTATATATATACAAAAAATAAAAATTGTTTTGTTATAAAATAGCTCAACTTGAATAACAGAGATCTGGAAGAAAGCAGGTTAATGTTTTACATATTACAGAAATATAATTAAATACTAATATTTACCATAAATTCTCGAAGTTGTACAACGCAGTTAAAAAGCAAGCCTAAATGAATAAATAAATGAGCATGATGAATAAAATAAATAAATGAATAACAAAATATTAAAAATAATAAAGACTTGTAAATGAATTTATATTTGGGAGAGGCGGGGGGGGGGGGGGGGATAAGTAAGGGTACAAAAGAATTTTGAAAAATATTAACACCACGTAAATAAATAAATTAATAATTGAATGAATACGATGAATAAAATAAATCAATGGATAAAATAAGTAAGTAAATCCTTTAAGATACATGTACATATAAAGGAATAAAAGATATATTTTTTTAATTAGCTCAAAAAAAAAAGAGGGAGATACATATTTGAATCCAAAGTTAGCATTGCTAATCAAGACCGGGTATATCAGTTTAGTAAGAAATTAAAATTGAAAACGAAAAACATAAAAAATTAAGACCGTTTAGAAAATTGAATTGTAACTTAGATATGTCGACTATACGGAAACACTAGCAGTTTGTCAGCACAATTTTGAGAAAGTTTATTAAATACTATGTACAGTGTTAGTATGTAGGGCTTAGAGCCAAGGTAAAAAAAAAATTCCCTCTGGTTTTTAATTTGATTTTTTTTCTGCATATACATTATTTTCTGGACATGTGTTAAGAACATTTTTTTTTGTTTTTTTTTTTGTTTTTTTTTTTACTTTTGCTTGAAATATATATATATTTTACTTTCCTACATTTTTTAGATGAACAGTTTGAAAGAAAAATAAAAACAAAGAAAATGGATGACGAGGATAAGCCGTCTAAAATCACCGTCATTGTCCGGTGTGTCGTCATAGTAATTGCCGCAGTTGTCTGTATCGTTGGTAACGGCATGGTATTAGGAACACTTGTTTTTGTGAAATACCCTAAAATCCCGTTATTTGTGGTCATTGGCTGCTTAGCTCTTGCAGACATTCTGCGCATGGTGTCGGAGGTTCCATTTTACGTCATTCAGTGGACTGATAATGGCGATTTAGTCACCACGGAATATTGTAAAGTTAGTGTGTATGTGAGCGAAGTGAGTATATTTGTGGCAGCTTTCGGGATAGCCTTGTTGAGTATATCACGTCTTCTACTCCTCACCGACAGGGGACATTCTAGGAAGTTTGTCAATCTTACGTACGTAGTCTGTATAGCGCTCTGGATCCTCACATTTCTTGCAAATATTCCAAACATCTTCTCATCGAAAAAAGACGAACTAACGCAAAACTGCGTCGAAGCAAATTCGGACATCGGCGTGAGCGAGGAGGTGAAACTATGGCTGTATGTGACCTTTTCGTTCTTTTTCCAGCTGTTGTTGATATCTTTTATGTACCTCCTCACGTTCTTTTGGTCCAAAAAGTACTTCACCGAGAGTTACTCGAGGAAAGAACGGCGCTTGTCCATGATGGTCAATATCCTGATAGTGACTTTTGCGGTGTTTAAGTTTCCCTTGATCGTTGTGAAGCTCTATGAATTTTACAAGAGCAGAAAAGTCAAGGATTTGATTGACAGGTTTAACAATGGTGAAGTGACTTACGAGGAATTTGAAAAGCATCATGACATTCAAAGCTTTGTCCAAGTGGACGAGGTTACGAGAATTACAGAATGTGTGTCGCTTATAGACTTGGCCATTCGGCCATTCATTTATTACAAACTCTCCTACTATTTCAGTAATAGCTTTGATAAAGTGATCAATTGTAACAAGTACAATCATAATAATGATATTAGGATAGTAGCGCGCAGGCGTCGTAATGACACGGAGAATACAACGTGTACAACGGTTACTATAGATACTGCCCGAACACCGCTCAATGACGATGTTAGCGAGGGCGGGAGTTCGGACAACGCCAGCATTAATAGAAGTCAATTCGATGGCAGCATTACGGAATACCGCTTCGACGGCAGCGTGTTAAACGACGAACTTTATGACGGTAGCAGTTTTTGTGATGAAAGACTATACGACCTAGACACAGAAAAAAGGAAATTCGGTGGTAGCTTTTGTAAGAATGACGTAAGAGTGCAAGAAACCAATTTTCTGTGCAACGACTTTGAAGACGTAAGACAAGTCCACAGTGCTCTAGTTTTATGTATGAATAGACAAGGCGGGACCCAGAATTGTGGTAGTGCCTCTGATGATTTTCAAACAGATTCAGGATCCGCCACAACGGAAAAAGTTGTTTTTGAGTTTTGAAAAAAAAAACATCGATGAAATAGTATTCCTTGCTACATGTTGCTAGAGAAAATTGCATTGTGCATTTAATTTTATATATAGAAACAAGATATTTATGCCAAAATTCTTTCATTTTCAGCTATAGATTTTATGGGTATGTAGTTGTCAATGGAAGTAGTTTGTATTGTAAATACATGTAGGAGGTATAGTCAAAAGGTTAGATTGATGTGGACTATAGATAGTAGAAGTAGGTATAATAAGGCACCATGATGTCGAAAACGGTTATGTGTTGATGGGATTTATATTGTTCAATTATATAATTTATAGTTCACTATTACTGCCTCTGCAATGGTATCTTTGTATATTGTAAAATAAAAATACAAATGTCAAAAAGTTAGAATTTACAGAATTGGAAAAAAAAATCCTGAGGTATTGTTGAATTTTACTTCTTTGAATAATTGAGTGCTGTGGACAATTCATTGAACTATAAAGATCTACATGCCATTTACCAAATACAACAAACTCTTGGATACATTTTTTGGGAGGTGGGGGGGGGGGCATTCAAAACAGGTTAAGGATTTTGATTTATTCCATATTAGAAATGCACAAAACATTCTCCATTGTGAAAAATATCATTTATCTTGACATAAATTTTAAGACTTGAGAGGTTTGTGTATTTTAAGTGTAGAGGGGCATTTCTTATAACACAAGATATTTTTTCCCCTAATGTAAATTTTATGCAAAGAAAATAAACTTAATTCGCTCATTTGGAAGAGGTTGTTTTGATCAATTAAATCATTTCAGAAATATAAAAAAAAAATCAGCTGTTGTAATTTTTTTTTATTTTCAATGTTTTTAACTTATTTTTCTACTGACATCACCTGCTGCTTTTGACGCGATAAAAATTTATTTATTTGCTTTGTGGAGTGTCTACGGGTATACTGTCAAATGAACACGTAGTCATCTGCCTTATTAGTTCAGTGCTGTTAATTAATAAATATAATTATTGTTTAGAAGACAGTAGATTGCATTTGTTTATGTTTTTGTTGTACAGGATCGTGTTATGATATCAATGAAAATGCATTTATCGGGTAACAATTATATTGTCAAATGTTATTGATTTATTATTATGATTATTTGTTAATTATGTCCCATACTGTTTGTGGAGAGAGAGAGAGAGAGAGAGAGAGAGATTTGACTGGTTTGAAACGGTTTTAAATGCAAAATGTTAAAAGTTGTATTCGTTACACATGTATCAGTATAATGCATAAATATAGTTTCCACTAAGGCAACATTTGTTTGAAGGGCATAAGAGGCTAAAATACAAAATATTGATAATATAGAAATGGGTTTGAAAAAAAAACAGGTGGCTTTCATGCAAAAAATTGCATCCCTGGGCATTTTATTAAGGGCATTCACATGGCTATCAAATATTAAATTGCTTGAATTCTGTTATAAGGATTTTATCATAATACAATATATGAGGGATTTTATTTATCACCCTCAAAAGTTTTGAAAATATTTTCAGTGAAATAGAAAAAAAATGATACTTGTTTTTACCAAAATTCATGTCTACAAAATTCTTTTCTACCTCCTTTCTTTTAAAAAGGGAATTCATTATTTACTTTTAACGAATTTTCTGAAAATTGAGAGAAAAGCTATATATTCTATTTTTTCCACCAAAGTGCTCATCACAAGGCATTCGCTACTTTCAGCTTTGTAAATTATTTTTTGTCAGTTGCCCATTATGGGTTCATGACATTTAAATATAAACTAAAGCAGAAACAAGAACATGTTGATTATAACCTGTTATTTTCATTGTGTTACATTTTATTCATACATTGTGTTTATAAAGTTAATCCGTGTTTAAACTGTTCTAAGCATTTTCTGACATCTGAATTTTTAAATAATTATTTCATTTTTGAGGAAAAGAAATGAAGAATGGGATTTACTTAAAGTAAAAGAAATTTTTAGATACTTTTGGATCGTAAATACATAAATGCATATTTATCATGTTTATGTTAAATGTTTTACTTTACTTGAGAATAAGTAATATGAAGAATTTTTGTAGAGCGCACTGGCAATTATACATAAGATTTTCTTAATTTTCCTTTACACTTTGATTTCAAAAAGTAGGTTAAGGAATATTTGAACTCTGTAAATATGTTTATGTCATTAATACTCTTCCCAATCCTTAATTTCCGGCCCAAGGGATAATCCCATAACAAAAGCCAAAGTTGTTTTGAAGGTTGATGTGTTATGTACACACGCATGCGTACTGAAGCTTTCTTTTTTTTCGTATTCCAGTTGAATGACGAATTCGAAGACCTCTGATTATAATTATTTAAAGCTGTTTTGTTTTTAAAAAAAGAGATATATAATGTCTAGTGCTGAATGTATATCATAAATACATGCTTTACCCGTGAAAATTGGTGCCCCTTCCTAAAAATTCATTTTTTTTTCTGTGTAAATAGTATATATACTAGTAATTATGTAATTATTAAAGAAATGTAATTTTTGTCCTAATTGTGGCAATGTTTCGTTAATTTGTATCGTATTTGCTCATCATGCTCATTGTTAAAAATAAATTATTTGTTACCCTCTACATGTGTGTTATTGATTTTTCTGGGTCAAGAAGCGTTTATTACATGTATCAGGTGGATATCTTTTGACTTGTGAACTTTTATCCATTCATATTTGAACGACATAAATACCCGGTATAGGAAAAATTCTTGTATGTATGAAAACTATGTCATTGATCTATTATGTAATATCACGGGAAGAGCCAAAGAAGTAATAATGATATCTGGAGATGATTAAGATGATTTTCTCCCGATGGTTCATGAAATCTCGAATGAAAAAAGGTTTATTTTTGGTACCTTGATTTACTTTACAGTACTATACACTGTATACGTATCCATGAGCATACATCCCTAACTACATTAATTAGGTTAATCTCGTAAGCTTGTGTCTATAATCCTTAATTTTAGTCTTGACTTTTAAAACATCACTTTTTCATCATCGTAATCGAAAACGTGAACTAAAATCCGATCTACACGTATTCTTCTGTAAATTAAAAGTACCGGTTTACATAAGTATCCAGTTTACATAAAGCAAGGATTTTTTTTTGTATTTTTTAGAATCTCAAAATGTGGGAAGAAACTTAATAATAAATTGTCAGTCTTACAAATTACGTCGTATTTGAATCTACTAAACTTTAGGCTCGTATTTTCTTTAAGTAGCAGTGAAACCTCGATCATTAATTTTACGCGGGCTGTTCAATTAATAATGTCCTGAGCTCTATGACACATAATATAGAAATCATATGACATTAAGCTTGACTTCTTTCATGATTGAATCTTTTATGAATTGATAAAAGTTTATTTGACCACTTTTCATCATATAGGCTCACTCTGAGAAGCTGGAAAACAAGGGCTATTCGAGACACTGCATTAAAAATAGAGGTAAAGAATCGGTAAACAAGAGTGAAATTAAACGCTTTATGAAAGCTGCTGTAAAACTCGTTAAGAATCCCAAAGAAATATTCCAAAAAATATGTGAAATTTACAGCAACTAATGTCTGTTTTATAGACACCTAAGCAGGTGGATTTCAATGAACAAAAATGATATAATGGGCATAAAAAAATCAATGGGTACCGTCCTTAGCGACAAATACCAATGTAATGTTTGCGAACATTCAACAAATAATCTCTAATGATGTTTCATTGAATTTAAGATACATAGTAGCGAAATTGATAGGCATCATTTTGGAGGTAGTTTACAAAATTTTAAAGAAACATTTGACATTTAAAAAAAACTTAAAACTCAATGGTCACCCTATTTTTTGAAAAATGGGAGAAAACAACAGCGTGTAAGAATATCTAAACAATTATTTTTAAAAATCCAAAACTGAAGTTATCCATTTTGTTTGAACTTCAAAACAGATAGTGAAACTTGATTTCATTGCTTTAAACCCTCAAAACAAATTTACAATAAGATGCACTTGACAAAAAACAGCCAAGGTCGGAAAAAAGCAAAGAATTTTAAAAGCACAAAAATAGTTTTCTATGTCATTTTCTTAAATATTAGTAGTCGTGTTGTACAAATTCTTATTCGGGGAGGCAGTTCAATTTCTGGAGTCTAGAAAGCAAATTTTTGCCAAAAAAATTAAAGTTTTATGAGAGGTTGGAACCAGAATCAGGAATCCGCTATATAAATTTCGTCATGACAGCATCAAAACCCACAAGCCGTGAAGATTAAAGTAGTTTTGGGGATAATAAGAAAGTTGATGTTTTGTCAAACCAACAATTTTCGCCAGATTTTCATCCTTTTACTAGTTTCTTTTCCAAACTTGAAAAAAAACACCTCTCAGAAAGATTGATTGATTGTATGTTGTTTAACGTCCCTCTCGAGAATTTTTCACTCATATGGAGACGCCACCACTTGCCGGTGGAGGGCTACAAATTTTGTCCTATGCTCGGCACTCAGGGCCTTTGAGCAGTGAGGGATCTTTTTCGTGCCAACACCTACTGCGACACGGGGCCTCGGTTTATACGGTCTCATCCGAAAGACCGGTCTCCACGTCCCGCAGTGGGATTCGAACCCGCGACGTAAGGATTGATTCCTCACTTCACGAATCTCAGAAAGAAGAAACAAGTCAAGAAATTCATAGGGCCAGCCATATTCCACTATACGAAGGACAATACTCAAAAATGTGTTTTAAAAACAATCAGAAAGTGTATAAAAATGTTACGGACATATGTTTCAATTAAAAGGAAATATTTAGGTAAAATCATTAAGGCTAAATTCTTAAAAAAGTGCTTTTTGTTCTTTTCCGAGCACCGAAGACATTATTTATTGAACAGCCCTCGTAGTTTTTAAATACTCTGAAAATTCAATTTAAGGAAAGTGAATTTGATTTAATACTGCATCTATTTTGGATTTCAAACCCTCGTAAAATTCCTCACAAAGATACATTGCAGGATCCAGTAAAGGTCATATCAATATTTACATGTAAGCTCCAACAATAATAGAAACTGCTGTGAACAAGAGACTTAGACATATGCGACATTTCCAAGAGGTCCTTAGTCTAAATCAAGATTTCATTCTCACAAACTAAAAAAAATGTCAATTTAAAATCATACAAAAAATATCCCCAAAAAGAATGACTTTTTGACATTTAACCCAATCACTCCGCACGATAAATTAAAAGAAAAAAGATGCGAGTTTTCTTAACATCACAGTCAGTTGCTTTCTTCAATAAAAATGGAAACCAGAAAAAAAGTTCGTAACTTGTGATTAATTATCCATGATATATATAATTGATGAATTCATAAACAAGTACTCCGGGGTTAGTTTTAATATATTCTCTTCACTGACAATATCTTCTATCATGTATAGATCTTTGTCTTTGTGACAAGATCTGATTCGGAAAATTAAGAGTTGTAACTAGAAGAAACAATTTCTAAATCGGAGCAGGCTACTGAAAATAAGCGGATTTTAAATTTCAACCTGATGCACAATACAAAATAGGAGCAGAGCAAACACGGACCTCCGAAACATCAGGGTTGGGATCAGGTGCCATGGAGGAGTGAGCATCCCCTGCTGACCGGTCACACCCGCCGTGTGCTCCTTGTCATGATCGGGAAATAATGGAAAAAATCCTTCGTCAATTCAATGTATAAATAATTGACTAACAATTAGTGTGAAAAACGACAGTCAGCATTTGACTTAATGATAAATTGTATTTGCTGACAAGGTCATTGTATCGACCATAGAACATACAAAATGATGACTTTAAACGAGACTGCTGATATTCTTGTTTCATCAACTTGCTTGTCAATAATTTACCTCGTTTTAGAAATTGTTCATACGTAAAGCATGCTCTTGCGTATCGAAGAGATATATACACTCCGTAAGTATGCAGTTGATGAAGGTATATTGCTGCATAAGTAAGGGAAGTTGACGATAGAAAAGTTAAAGTCATCACGTTTATCATATAGCTTGGTTGTTAGATTGCCATTAACGTCTTTTTCAAAATATCCAAGTATGAAACAGACTCTGTGGTACATGTATCTTTTATCTCAAGCTCTCCAGGATATATCGTATCGACGTAGGAATGGAAGTTACCATTCTTAATTGGCAATACGTTGTCGATACATCTAAATGTCGAGTTGACCGTCTCGTAATCGATATTTATTAATATCTATTATTATGACCAGAAACAAGATCAAACACCTTAACCCTGCATGAGTCAAAAGGTAAGGAATTTTATTTAAATCAAACACAAAGTTCCAAGGAATGAGAACAAAGAGGGCATTTTCCAAAGTGCAAGTTTCAAATTGATTCATATTAAGAATTTTGTCCAATTTCTCTCAGTATGAGTGAAAAAATAGTTACACGAACAAACAATTTAATGGTATATATCAGTCATGTGTATGCAAATACACAAGTATTTATCCTTTCATCATATTTTACTATATTGGCTCAGTCCGAGGAAACGATGTGATTTTCTTTCCATGTTGCAATACAAAATACGTGTACAGGACATTTTAATTCTTCTAACTGTACTTGAAAAAAAAAACCCAGAAGATTGAGATGATTTCATTTGATTTTCATCCTTCCAACCAAATTAGAAATTTAGAACATACGAGTATATGATTATGTATTTGGTATTCTAATCTTACTTGAAGAATTGTTTTAATTAAGAAAGAATTTTGTGCTTGGTATCAAAAATCACATGACTTGAAGAGACAACGAAATTTACCAAAATTATGAAGAACTGAAACATGTTTATTACTTACAAGATAAACAGGTCAAACTATGTAACCTAATAATAATATCTCACTAAGTGCACTATTTCGATTTCAGAATTTAAAACAGAATACTAATAACCACAGCCTATATTACCGGCAACTGGGACTGTTGATGCAACTGTGACGACAGATTGCAAAGGTGTTTTTCGCTATGACAGAGACCTAATTGATATCATATTTATAACATCCATTCACTTTTGTTTGAAGGTTTTCCGTTTTGATCTTACCTTAAACTATTTTTCTGTTGAATATAAAACTATGAGAACTGAGCTGATTAAATCAAAACTGCTACTCCACGGTCACTTTTTTGTTATGTATATAATATATTTAGGCTATATATCTATGGCATAACTGCAAAATGTGGATAGTCATTGTTGTTTAATAAAAATGCCAAAAGCGCTTGATTTTGGTGGGTCAAATTATTTTGGCTGTCATGTATGACAGTCGAGGCAAACAATGATAGCAAATTTAAAACGAAATATGGCATGCAATCAGAAACAATGGATACAAAGTTCGTTAAAATAAAAATTTGCTGTATCTTAATAAACTTCAAATTTCGGGAAACCTGTTTTTGACAGTTAATATTGGTCGTATGTATAATAGTTGCTATACGACAGCTACTGAAGCAAACTTTTATTCGATTACCAACATGAACGTGTTTTCAATATTAAGACTATCCATTTGTGAATAGTCGGAATTTTTTTTTCCAGCGATAAAAACGAAACGAACTGCAGATTTCACCATACAAAATTGTACGAAGGAAGAAGTGTTTTGCAGGTTGTTGCCGCTA